CGAATTACAAGCTTCTTCAAGCATGGCGTAAATTTTGCTCATTTATTTCCGGATAACAGAAGACAAGTTATGCATGAATGAAATGACGAGATATACTGTATCATGATTTTCGGACACTTAGCAGAGTGAAAAACGTCAGAACTTCCTAAAAATTATAGTTTTTGTTGATCGCTATTCTCTAGAATTTCAGCCACCAGTTTGATTTGGGCGTTTTTTTTCAGGTCGATTCCTCTTGAGTGCAAAGCTTATTGTGATTGTGAACAGGTGTGAATGTGAACTAAAATAGAAGCAACTAAATTGACGCATGAGAGGAAAACGTTTACAACCAATTCTTTGCAAATCTTTTTTTTATATCGTTAAGCTTTGTAATCAATTTAAACTTGGAATTGTTCAATATTTGAAAGTTTGTCACACCAGGGAGAATTGTTTATTTAAACTTCAACAATGTACTTGAATAAGTTTTCAAGTTTCAAAATGAGTTTAGTATGAGACTTACAAAGAGCGAAGGGTTCTGCTCGATGCATTTTTTTAATACTCAAAATAAGGTTTCTATGGTTATTTCAAAAACAACTTCGTGTGACATAACTTTCAATGGCAACTTCAATCGAAGCTACAATGAATTGCCAATTTGAAATTTTATTAATGTAAATTGACATCAAGAGAGAGCTCATTTTATTAATGTAAATTGACATCAAGTGAGAGCTCATTTCAAGCACTTCTTAATTATATTTGAGGTATTGTGATTACATCTCCAACATCATTGCTTTCATTTTTATATGAAAGTTAGACCAAGTTCATTAGAAAAACTTTGGCTTTATTTTTGCTTGGGAAAGTTTTCATGAACGCAGAAAAGTGCCACTTCAGATCAGATAGATGAAAATCTTTGCATAATCGTGCAACTTTCAAAAGCTCACGATGTCTCACAATAAATTCAGGTTTTCAGATTACAGAAGTTTTCAGAATTCAAGTTTCATTAAATTTCATTCCTTCATTTTTCTTCAAGCTTTTTTTAACGATAAAAATATGTTCGACAGAGATGATAAAAAGGAATTGAAATGTCATCCGGGACTTCGTTCGGTTCTTCAGCTTAATTATTTTCAAGTTTACCGGCCAGTAAACATAAAATTTCTCAAGATAAATTAATTAGCACATCCTTAATGAAAAACATTCGTCAAAAGAACGGCTTGCATGAATTTTATTTCGAGGCTCGAATTTCAAATATAAACCAGAAGAACTTCCGTGCATCAATCGTCCACGAAATTTAGTCCACCGTGCATCAGCAGATTCAAGAGATGCCCAGGAAAAGCAATCGCATTTTCTTCCGAATCAAACGAATTTAATTATGGAAAAGATGTCCTTAATTACAGCATCGCCAAAATTCGCTCGCTACACTTCAAGACTTTCTCAGGGAAAGCGCCGCTCAGAATCTTCGTCACTCCGTCGCGAACACCGAGCTCAGCAGCCACTGACACGAAATCCGATTCGTAGATCAGAGTCCCCAGTCCGGCGAGGATTCTATAAACGGCTTCACCATCAACCAGCTTTCCCAGGGCGTCCAGAACGCACCGAAGCGTGTGCAACATCATTTCGTCTTTCGCTTCAGAATCCGGCATCTGAGAGATTTGCACTCCAAAATTCAAGAATATGGAAGCTGTTGCGATCTGAGTGTTTTTATCTGCAGGCAGGATATTGGGCAACGTGTTGATGAATTGCTCGCGGAGATTGGACATGAGACCCCGTCCGGGTTCGTGGGCAAAGAGGTTGCACACTGTTCTCAGCAAGAGCATGCGATTCGTGTTTGCTACGGTGGATGAAGATTGAGTTGAACTTATGATGTGGTCGTTGAAAAGCTTTACAACGGGATCTGGATTCACTTCGCACATCAGTCGATTCACTTGTTTTTCAGTCACGGCCAATCGTAAAGCATCAAGCACAGGTAGAAGTTTCTCTAGAATGCAAGAGAAGACGGAACATGAAAAATTTTTCGAGACCTCGCATACAACATTCAAGCAAATTTCATCAACAAACCTTCCGGCCAAGCCAGCAGCGACATCAGGGATTTGACTCCCGTGACAGCCTCAGGTTCGCGAAGGACAGCACTCGAATCCACCGCGTCAATCACATGCATCACAGTAGCTATAACGGCACCTTCTCCTTTCATTTCACTTTGAAACGTCAGCAGCTTATCTACACAAATATAAATACGTAATTATCGCTGAGAAGCAGACGTACACGTAAGCTTCTAAAGATACCTGCTATTTTCTCAACATTTTCCACTACTTTGACCAAGAAGTCAAGAAGACAACATTACGCTTGAAAAATCTTAAACTTGCCTATACTACACGGAATTTTTCCAAATGCTAGTAAACTCTTCCAAAAATGATGATCCAAAACCGATTCATCACATTTCGTGGTTTTTTTCAAGGAATTCATTTGTCTGCTTTAATCCTCATGTTTCACATGTACAAAAACAAAATTACATTAGTTAAATTTCTTCATAAAAATTTTAAAAAATTCAGAAACATTTATGATAACTTTGTAAGTAAACTTAAAAATGAATTTAAATTGCAAGCAATGAAAAAGACCTGAAACAGCTCGCCTGAGCTGAAGCATAATCCGATTACTGCGCTTAAAAAGCTTTCAGGTGAATTTCAGCGAGGCATTTTTGAAAATTCTCTCGAATCCACACTACCGTTAATTATACATTTTTCATTCAAAGAAAGTCAAAAAGCGTTTGAAGTTAAAACACCTCCCGGTCGTGATGAAGCATAAGAAAATATAAAATTAGAATATGTCTCACCGAGCATAGCTTTTCGGTTTCCTTGCGTAAATAACAAGTACTGCTGCACAGGGAAATCAGACGCTGCAACCGACTCCGTGGACAGAACTTGCCCCGCGGGAACGTATCGAGTAGAGCCAGTGAACGGATCGGCTCCGAGCCCCGCACTCGCACCCGAACCAGAAGTCGGTGCTCCTGAGCCCGGACGATACCCCGAGCTACCCGTAAACGGATCCGCAGCTCCGCCGTGACTAAACCCTCCTCCGGCAACCCCAGATCCAGGCACGTATCGACTTCCACCCGTGAATGGATCAGCCGCTGCTGCAGAGGGGTACAAATGGGCCACTTCTTTCGTCTGAGAAACGATGAAGTTGGATATTTGATCGATGAAGTCTTGGCTCAGTTCGTTTTCGTTGATGAAACGTTGCGCTGCGGCCCACGGATCTTCACCTTTGTTGTACCCAAGTTTCAGTTTCGGGTGATTGTCGCCCAAGTCCACGTCAAATAAGTAGTCAAATTCCTGAAAAATGTGGGAATTCTAATACGTAAGTAAGCTGTAGCTAAACGGCAGCTGAAAATATGAAAATCAGAGAAGTTAAGGAAAGATACGACACTTGAGAAAAACGAGCGTACTCGTGAGTTTATTTTCCGGAGAAAACTTTTTACATACAGTATCTAAAGGTGCTGTTCATAAGAACGTCGGTAGCTTAAAAATTTTCGCCACTTTTTAGGGTTGTGTGTGCTTTAAAAAAGGGTTTTTTTGGATAGCTAAATCAAATAATCGAGTGGACGGACTTCTTTGTAATTATTTTCGGGCATGAAAATCAACGTTCAATAAAATTTTTTTAAACACAAAAAGATAACGACGATATCTTTAATCCATTTAAAAACGTAGCAATTTTCATACAAGTCTCTCAAAAACACTAGGAGGTTATAACGAGTCTCATTCTCTCATAGCATCAATGAATAAGTAAATCCTGTAATCGTAATACAACACAGGTCAAAAGGTAATAAAATTATTACATGAAAAAGTATGACCACCGTAAAACAAAAGATGTAGAAAGTTACGAGACTTACCTTACCCAAATGCTGCTTTTTCTGAGGTTTGCTACCGATCACAGATCCGACGAGTAGCCACTTTTGTTCAGCCGCGGCCCACGAATAAAGGTTAACGACACCGTTTTCTTTTATAAATCTATTCTGACCATCTTTCATTCCAGGATTCAGCAATGCTTCCGGGCCAGGCATGCTAAAAATGAGAAGACCGTAACAACGAAATTAAATGTAAATTTCTAAATTGGCTACGAACTGCTCTTACTTATCAGTGTCGAGACCTTCCAGTTCAGGAGCTTGAATTTTCACCTCCTTCAGAGTGTCTTCATAAATTTGAAGCTCCTCTGCTGGAGCCCAGCGCTCCTTGGATCGAGAGAAAACTCGAACCATTCCATCGCTGAAAGAGAACGAATGTTTTGATCATCTGAAACGTTTACTGGGGATTTACGTGCGTTACTCTGCATTATGCCTCTGGCTATTCAAATTTCTGAAAGCAGGCAGGTGTCTTTCCAATCTTAGGAATGACTGAATTTAACCCCGACTTCTAGTACTGAGCATGGCCGAATAGATTTAAACCATCCCATAGCATATTCTGACCATAAAATTAAACCTCAATGAAATTCAATAAAATTTCAGCGACATCTATAGGATGGAGAGCCAAATCAGACTGAAGCGCAGAAGAAAATAATTTTCTCCTCCTACGCGCGCATATACGAGATATGCAGGTTTTTTTTTTAAATATAATTTTAGGTGCTTTTGAAATGAAAACACGTAATGTACCATTTATTGAGGTTAGTGAAATTTACCCCAATTTTGGGAGTAAAAATCGTGAACGTTTGCACTAGGTTTCACGGGAAAAATTTTGAAGAGAAAATTCCAAGTACTCACTTTCCACCCACTGCGAAATCTCCATTGGGCAAGCAGGCGATACTCCAATTGGTCAGCGTGGGTAAATGAACATTTTGTACAACTTGAAAATTCTTCCATACTCGCACGACGCGGTCTTCACCACAAGTGGCAAACTCGCCATTCTTCCAAAAGGAAATGCAATAAGTGAAGGGTTCATGTCCAGGATACACGCCAAGACAAGATCCATCGATGTTCCATCGTCGCACAGAGCTGTCATTCGCAGCAGAGAACAACTCCGTCGGAGACACAGCGACAACGCATCTCACGACGTCCTCGTGGCCTAATGAAAATCAGGATCGAGGCATAATAGTCATTAACACATTTCGTACAATACAGAGTAATAAGCATTTCTTCAATGATATACTGTACATCAAAGGTATGCTGGAAATCATTGGCGTCTCGGAGTCGAGTATCAAAGAGTTTACGAGAGCTTCCGAAAAAGGGAATCCATTCAAATTGTTACCCTAATTGAACACCTCTGGCAAGTTAGAGTGAACCATACACAGTAACTTACATAGCATTTTGTAAGTTAGCTACATTTTTACACCTAGAACGGCCTACGATAAGAGGTGTACATCTAAGAATCTGAGGTGTCTCATACTAGCGTAGATCCTGTAATAAATTACCCTATTTGTCGCGAGGTCATAAACAGATTTCATGATCAGCGTTGCTCACCAAGCAAAGTCTTGACGCAAGTTCCATCACTCGCATTCCAAAGCCTTATCGATTTGTCTGCCGATGCAGATGCGAAAAGTCTGTCACCAGGCATCACAGTCACACTCCATACTGCCATTGTGTGACCCACAAGTGTTTTAGAGCACGGTTGCTGCTCCTTGTTCAACCAAACTTTCATAGAGAAATCCCATGAACCACTAAGGACGAGTCCTCCTGATGATACCGCCAAACAAGTGACTGAAAAAACAATGGGGAGCATTTCTCAATGACAAAATTCGCCGTCATTCTACTTCGACAAGTTTATCCTACAAATTCAAAAACCCGGATACACAGTTAATATTGATTTAACCAGAAACGATTGAACCGATTTAGAAACAATATGTGGCGAACAAAAAACAAAGCTGAACTTAATCTAGAATCGAAGTTCAGATCAAAATTATCAACTGTGGTTCAGTTCAGTTGCCTTTCAATAATTTTCGTTTCATATTTCTGTCTTGTGGTTACTGCGGCAATAGAAAAACATTTACTGTATATCAATAAAGTTTCAAAAAATATGTAGTGAGAAATTCAATTCAAATTGTATTACAGTATTGTACCTGGAAGAATTAAAATGCTTACAAACTATAATTTGAGCTAAAAATAAAAATCCTCTTCAACGCTCTCCATTGCATTTTCATGCCAAGATCTTGTGGTTAGTATAATTCATACATGAAAAATTGCATAACTGAGAATGTAGAAAGCAACCATCTCACAGACAAGCAGAAGTTATAAGTTATGCATCGTACCATTCGAAGACATTTGATATTTATTCAACAAATTCAGCATTCACAGTTCTCGGAAAAGCTGCGGCTTGAGAATTGGTTAATAATCAATTTAAGCCTCACCCGACTGTTTATGCCCTTCAAATAATCTGACAGGATCTCCGCCACCAACTCCGTACACTCGCACCACGCCATCCATACTTCCAGTTAATATGGCTCCCAAAGGGAACTGTTCGCAAGCGCCGATTGCTACAACCGCATTAACGTAATGCTTGTGACCACTCAACTCGGCAGCCATGGAATATTCACGTCCGTTACTGAAACACGTAAATATACTCATGTTGAAACATGCTTAATCGTAACAACTTTATGAATCCCAAGTCTTTAAATTTCGATGAACAGCCAACCCCATGAGTCTCTTCCTCAGTTTATAACAGCGTCAACAAAAGATTCGAGCTTAACTTTGTGACATGAACAATAACTCGGCCCGCGTTTTTGATTTGAAGGATATTGCCAAGTTTTCTTGAAAATACGGGACATTCCAATTTACTATGCTACTCCAGATACAGTACATGCTTCTTCGGAGACTAGAAATAAACTCGTTGCAATAAGATATAGTTACAGTATTAAACATACGTTACGGAGAGTTTAAACAAGTTTATTTTCGGACTGACATACCTTTTTCAACAATCGCTGAATTTAGACTACCTTTATGTATGACGAGAAGAATATACCTCAATTGATTACGAAATACGAAATTTTGAAGAAAAAAACTCGAATCTAAGAATTTCGTACTCACTTGTCAAGGGCCCAGAACTTCGCTGTCTTGTCCCTGGATGCAGTGAGGATGCCATTCGGTGAGGGCGAAAACGCAATACATTTGACATCGTTCGTGTGCCCCACAATCGTAGTGGATAACTTAAAACTGGCTTCCCCGTGCATTTTAAGCTTTCTGCACAATGAAAAAAAAAATTTCCTGTCAAAAGATGTGACGACGCTGAAAAATCGGGGGAAATTCAACTACGGCAAAATACGCTGCACAGAAACTCTTTACAACGAACATTTATTCGCTAAAATTTATAAACATGCCGGACATAAAAATACACAAATGGCGGGAATTTGAACGAACGAAATCAGCGTACGCGACAAATTGAAAAGCGCGACGGACAATTTTTGGTGGGATGAAAACCAGAACAATGCTTGAAACCATGACACTTCGGAATGAGATAAACAACCTATTTCGAAAAAAATGCAAATCAATGCGTCAAAAACTTCAGGAAAAATCTTTGGTTTTTGATTTACAAGGCAAAAATATTCGTTGCCCACATGGCTACATGATCACAACACGTTCAACGTACAATTTTCTAACGAATTTTTGCGTCACTTAAAGATTCTTTATACTCTTGAGCAACAGAAGGCACGTATCAACAATTCGGGATCGGCGCAGATCATCAACCGTCAAGTTACAATTCAGCAAAAAACTGATCAGAATGATTCTTTGTCAACCCACTGAAGTATTCTTCACAAACTTACAAGGTAACGTACAGTAACCATGTATGAAACACTACTCGTATGGAATGTCGAACAGGTGGCAAGCTTTCAAGAGGTAAGCACTGGTTTTAACAAATAACAGCAACAAAAAAATACTGGAGTACCTTCGTAATTACCATCGTATTCCGAGACTGAAAGCTGCTATCTTCGAAAATAAATGTCTCAATTATTTGGTTCACGTCAGCAATTGAATTGCTCAAGCACCATCAACTGAATCGAAATATCTTCTAGAGTTTTGAGACAGAAACCAATGCGGTGGAAGAGTCTTGAATCAATACCGAACGGGAATCCAATTTCCTGCTTCGTCTTTGCGATAAAAATGGGGCCGATTGTCAGGGAACAAAGTCACGGAAGGAAACGGATGCTCCTGAATATGCTTTAGAGTTGCACGAACCTGAAATTCATTGAAAAAAAAATACACGTCACGACGAAACTTCACGCACGAGTGAATTTTACAATCCTGAGCATCAAATACTTGGACAAAATTAAGAAAAAAGGCTAAAACCCATCCCCAACCCAAGGCAAAAATCGCAGAATCAATAAAGCAAAGAACCAATTCGACTGTGTTTCGCTTTGTTAGTAGTGTACATACAATTCAGAAAAAACGGAAGATAATAGTTTGGAAAAACGATACTAACTTGCATAGCGAAATGTGGGGGCTCAACTTCTGGTGATGTAGATAAATGTTGTAAGATGAAATCATCGGATTGCTGCAACCACAAATCCACGCCACGCAGGGGTTCATAATTGAATGGACCTATCCTCATCAAGCCCAAGTTTGCGTCATACACATCCAACATCTATCAAAACACCAGACGCAAAAAATGGATTAAGTACCGTACAAATCATCAACGATAATTACATGGAAAGAATAAGTTAAAATTAAAGCGTTTGTTCGTAGATTTCCAAGAATCACACAAACAATACAGATGATACATTGTCCCAAATTTAACGCTCGACGAAAAATTTCGCATTTCCAGCGATAAACTCACGTGATGACCTCCAGTGAACGTTCGTGCGCCACGCAAAGCGAGCGCAGGACCTTTTTCAGGAAACGTTGCGGGGCAGATTTCCCCCGTTTTAACATTCACAGCTGAAACAATTTCAAAATTTATAACTTCAGAGATTTGATGTTAATCAGGACGTAAAATTATACTATTCTCACCGATGCCATAGATGATGGGCCACGGAATTCCACCACGGATTGTAGTGTTCACGTCACCGAAACAAGCTGTAACCATTTCAACGTCTAACGGCTGTTTGTGCAGAGCATCTGCAAAAAAAATTACGTGTTTTTGCAAAGAAACGAAGGGACGAAAAGAATTGCTTCAGATGATTCAAGTTTAATTTTTCCTCCCGACCTTTAAAGAAGTTCCACACTAGCTCTTGGCTGTACGAGTACGCAAATGGGAACGATGGCATAAAACTTGGTTTCTAACGGGAGAAGTACTTACAGAGCACACCAACAAGAACTTCATCGGAGCGTCCTCTACCGTCATGAAAGCCGCCAACAATGTGAACCTCCAATCGACCCTCCGGATACCCTAAAGAGAGCTCTTGAACACGCTGTATCATACTGATAACACCTTCATCAGAACATGATCCATCGAAGTGCCCCAAGCTCACAGCACCCGAGCCTAAATTAGGAAGTAATAAAAAATTCAAGTTTCAAATAAGCGACTTTACGTCGAAGCCTACAAAATGGTTCAAGAAGATGAACTTTCAAAGCCTCAAAAATCTCCAGTACACAATTTCGATCAATTTTTTCTCATCGACAAAACTTAGCAATAATTTTTTTGGAACGCATCGGCATTTTCAATTGCTTTCTAAGCAACGAAACATTTTAAATAGAAAAATTACCCGAAGAAATACACGGATACGTACATGCATCGGTATATAGACAACGAATTCCAAATGAGATAAGATGGAATTTTATGAGAAGGAGACATTTGACGGTTTAATTGTTACTTTATGCTTCATTTCCGCCACTGTTGACCTCTTTCATAAGCGAGGAAATTAGGAAAAAACTTTCGATGGAACGAATTCCAAGACTCGGACAGAAAGACACAAACATCAGGCCAGTACAGAATAGTTGTGCTGTTGAACATTCTGAATCACGTACAAAAACAAATTCAAAGCATCTATCAATTTCAACACCAAAGTAGGAAAGATTATACCACATTAGCCAGCCAGATTACACCTCGTGAAATTTCAGAATGAGCAAGCTTATCGAAATTGATGGAGATTGGAGACACTACTGAACAGCAAAATGTTTACACAACAGCTTATTCGAGAAAAAGTTTTTTTTCCTACATTCAGGCCATGTTGAATTATTGCACTTCAATTCACAGAATTCGCGACATTTTCGAAAGCAAGTAAGGCATGCATTGTCCAGAGTAGGTTTTAAATGGAATCGACGAAGTCATCGATTGCATTTTTTCAAATTCACTATTCCATGATTTAATTTTATGACTCACGATTTTCAAGCAAAAAATTATGGAATCCGAGCAGAGAATCGTATACCTGAATGACGAAGGACGACGACGTGACAAGTAGTCGCTTCCTCCGTTCCGAGAAGAGTGATGTTTTCTGCGAAAATTGTGAAGACAAATCATAAGATCAATTGGGAAGGTTCAAAACTTTACTTACTGTCATGGGGAACTGTTGCAGCAAATTCTCTTTGGCAAACGTACAAAAGCCCAACTGGACCAATCAATTTGGTAGGCAATGCGCACAGCGCGGACGCGTGGTCTTTAAGAAAAGGATAGGACAAGAACAACGAACGTCCATCACGCGGAGTGTCATCCAAACGGATTCCGTTGATCGTCAACGGCATCGCTGATTTTTATTCGACTAAATTTTACCTGAAATGAAAAAGGAATCAATTCTATTCTTACCCTCCTCGAAAACATTGACCAAGAAAATTCACAACGAGTTCACTGTATTCGGGAATGTTCTGCCCTACAAACGGCACCACTCAGTTGTCCAGAAACAAACAACAGAAAATTTTGCAAGTACGCCTGGAACCATGGACACATTCAAAAACATCGCATAACATTAAAAACTCAAAAGTTTAGAAATCCCGGCCTAAAGTTTCGAAGTGTAGCGTGACACTTAACAGACATCGTCAACAACAGCTCAACAATTTTGAACCTCACAACAACTTCAGTAGAGATAAAAAATACCTTAAGATGCGTGCCAAACTTCGGCGGATACTGTTTAATGATGCTCCGGGGAGCTTTGAACCTCTTTGTGTGTACTCAGCTATTGCAAATGTGATTCCTTTGATAAGAGAATCTTTAACGATATCCTCCCTGAATGTAAAACCTGATCCAGCAAACTTTCGTATGTTCAAAGGAAAATTCTACTTTACTCGGCTGGTCAAAGTATTTATAAAAACCACCACGGACCAATCCTCGTTACAAAATCCTCAAATTCTTACAAAAACTAACTGATTATTCTAACATCAGACACGATTTTCTTTCAATACCATAAAAAGAACTGATCAAGAATATTCCAGAGTTATAAAAAAAATCCATGCGAGTCGATGAAGTGGGCTCTTGAAACTTCAACGGACTTACCGAAAAGAAATCATCAGATTTTAACACCTACTATAAAAATTTAGCATGAAACACACTGCTTTGCAGATCACAGGGCACAAAAAAGAAGAGAAACTGTTTATCCCGACTTGGTTACAGCCAAACTCAAATACAACGATTTACAGTATTTTTCTGAATTATTCAAAAATCGATCTGCAAACAAATTTTAGGAGGGGGATACTGACTGAATAACAGAGCTAACCAATTTCTACCAGAATTAATTACACAATAACACCCCAAACCTCATCAGATGTAATGAATGTTTGTAATGATCTTTCTTCCTGTTGAATTTCTCATTCGCATTTCCGTTCCTGCGATACATTTATTATTGCTTGCTTTCTTTGACGGATGCTACGCCTCCTCGAAACACACCCGAAAGCATCCTACCGAGGACGCAGGAAGTCCTTCATAACCTTAATTTATCCATCAAAACCTTAGTTAGATTCACGGAAACTGTACGAGTTAGACTTCGAGGCATACAGATGTACAACCGTTAATTTCTTCAACTTTCCAGAAATTCAATGAAAAACAGGATCTCGCGGCGGAGTTTGAAACGAAGACGGCGACGGCAAGGCCATCGGAGAGAACTCAGACGTCACCGCGGGAGGCACGTAGTTCAAGTCCACAGGTATATCTATGTCACGCATCAGCTTTTCGAAGTCCACCACCGAGCAATTTGAGCTGTCCGAGTGAGCATCCGGAGGTCTAGCGACAAGTCGTCCCTCCACATAAGCATTCGTCACAGATTCCAAATCGGAGTCGACGCCATGCGGGTCAGTTTCCCTCTCATCGTCGTCAATCTCGCTCTCTTCGCCGTCTTTTCGCTGAATTTTGCTTTGCACAGGAGACGGCAACGGAGAATACGTCATACCGAACAACTGCGGGGATATGCACTGGGAAATGGGCTTCTGACTCGAGTCCACGATTGTGCAGGCTGTGTTGCCAGAAGCCAACGTCATGCGGTACTTGGGACTCAGCAAATGCAACGGGGGAATAGAAAAGCGATCCGGTGACCGTGTCGGTTGGTACATACGCGGGATTGACGTTACACACTGCACTTTTGATTCACACACAGATTCGTCTTGTTGAGACAAATGGAGACGTTTCCGCGAAGGAGACGAAGACGGCTCCAAAAATCGCGGCATTCCGGAGTCTTCGCTCACATCTTGGCAAGTAAGGAAATTCGGATTGAGGAACGGATCCGAGTTGAACATTTCCACAGGCACGTTGTCGTAGTTCGAATCCAACGACAAGAAAAGATTTTCGCAGTGCTCAGGAACCGAGCGACTTGAAGCATTACTGCTCACTATCGGAGAAGGGTGTCTACCAAGCTCGTTCATATTTTGCTTCAAAAGTTTACTCCCGTTGAACACAGACGCGATTGTCGTGGCATTGCAGTCATCCTTTGGTCGCCAGTCTCGTTTTAACGCCTTCTGATTAGTGGCTTTCAACACCGAAAAGCTATTCTTGGACGGTGTTCGATGCCGTTTCGCGAGAAGAATACCTTCTTGCGACGGCGAGATGAACTCATCCGGACTCATGCTCACTACAGGCATCGGCTCAAAATCCACATTGAACGTAGTTCCGTTCGGGTGAAATGTTGGCATCTCATTTTTAGCTGAAACTACGAGATGATGACAATGTATTTAATGGAGCAACAACCAACGATTTTAGATTTCACTTCGAAAAAATAAAAATATGGTACGACTTTCCCTCTGCGAAAAAACTGAACGAGAAATTATTTGAATGATTATCTTTTCCTTAGTTTTTCAGGCATCAAATGATGGCCAAATTCATACAAAAATATGAAGAGCACAAGCTTTTGGGAAAAAGATTCCCAATACCAAGAATGACAAATGATAAAAATAATAATAAAACATATATTAAGTTATACAGCCCAACCATTTTCGAACAAAATTCGGATGACAGCATCCAAAATTTTTTTTTACGAAATGGAAACATCAAAATTCGAAGGAATAAGATCAATTGAGGGCAATACAGATAAAAGGTTACTCACCTGGAATTAGAACACTGCCAATATCCGAGGAGTTCGACGCTTCATTGATGTCTTCAGAAAGAATACTCAAAGCATCTTTCGTAACGGATTCGTCGGCGAGTTTCAGCGAAGGAGAGAGAGACTCAGTCGGTACGTGAGCATCGTCCGAGAATAAAGGCAGTTGCAAAGAACTTTCCGATGCAGCTTCGAGCTTCGCACAAGGCACGAAGTTCGGATCGTTGCAATACATCATGACATTCGGGGCTTGGTCATTAGCCACACCGACGGTATGAATTACAGCGTCAATGGTGAGCTCCAGCGCCTGAGATGGGGTCTGCATTACCGGTGATGCGGCTGAAAGGATGGGCATACTCGGAGCAGTTTCCACGGACTGTTGCCGTCTTTGGCCGAGGGATTGCGGCTTAGTATTTTTCTCGTGCGCTCTGGTCTGTTTCACAAGACTTTTCGAGTCAACTACTCTTACAGACGTTTTAAATCGCCTTTCAGGATCCACAGGACTCAAAAATTCTTGCTTTTCTGACTGCTTTTTCAATCTTGGACCTTTTAAACCTTTGCTAGGCTTCACAGGCGGCAAATCAAGAGGTTTTTTCGGCTTCTTTGAATTAAGTAACAAAAATTTTGACTGATGCAGTTCAGTATTCGCTTTCAGCTTTTCTCTAACAAGTTGCATTATTTCTTTCATATCGCAAACAGGTTTATAATACCCTTCAGCTATCGCTAGAATATCTGAGAGTGTTCCCTTCACCTGTAAAAATACAAGAAATACACATCAGTATTTTTTCTGCAAAATACCACGGTTTTTTTTTTTTTTTTAGTGATGGATAGCTAACCTCTAAGACACCTTCCGCCAATTTACGTTCCTCCAGAACAAATGAAAGCTCGGCGGCATACTTCAACGCATCTACTAAATGCTCCAGATCCTTGAGCATCGCCAGAAAACGACGTCCATAGGCAGATGACAGAGTGGACATTGATCCCGCCTCGTTGTGATTAGATTCCGTACGGGCGACGAATAGTTCACCTAGACTAAGATCTTGACACTTCCGTAGGAATGCTTGCTTCGACGTTTCCACACGCACCTCTTCTTTAATGGGGATCTGGAAAGTTGAAGATGGTACAGTGATAAGGGAAAACTAGTTCAAAGATATCGTAACAAATTTGAATAATACGGTAAAAGGCGGGATATAACATTAATCAGGAGAAAAAAATACAAACCGGCTCTGCACAGGGAGAACACGCTCGAACAGCACAATTATAGGCATCCATCGGTATAGCCTCCTTTTTGTTGACAAAATGCTCCAAACTATCGAAATTCCTGATTTTGTTGACCGTGGGATCGGGTGGCGCTGTAAATGAAACTCTCCATGATGAAGTTCCTCAGATTAACGGCAACATTTAGTACTGTGTAGTTACCGATTGGTTTGCGGATTTTTGTCGATTCCTTTGGAAATTTTGCAGCCAAATTCAAGACGTTATCCAACTGTTCGCCGTTATCGGGCAAAGAACCATGATCTGGGTTCAAAACTAAATGCCGCCAGAGATTCTTTATACCAACAAATCTTTCTTCGCACTTGACGCATTTGATTCTTCGACGCTTATCTGGACAGGTACATCGTTGTTATTGAACACACTCCGCATGATTGATTTGCATTCATCACTCACCAGTTTTGACAATAGGCCTTATAGAATCAAGATTCTGTTTAACCTTCTTGGATAAATGGCATATTCGTCCTGAGCGCGTTTTCAGAACAGGCTGATTTGGTTCAGGATTTCCCTCGCCCTGAGCGTAAATATATCGCTGAGACGAATAATAGCGACCAATATACAGGAAATATCTTACCGCATTCAAGGGTGTCAGCTGGATTGGTGAATCGATTTTCCCCATGAGTGGTCGCAGCTTTCACCAATATCTTCAGCCAGTCATTTCAAAAACTGTAATCAAGATCCACATTTAAAGACATTCGCACAACCATCACGAACTTCTGACGCACAGTTTCAGTTAGAAAACATACACAGAATCTGACACGATAATACTTCCGTCGAAAACCTCGCTTCAGTATTTACATCCAGGAAGCACCCGTGTACGGCGGGGCTGCACTTGAATCGAGAATGGTTCCCGTATGAAAACATGATTTCTCACCATTCCAACGCATCCATCACCGTCAAACATCGCACAATGCGCCAAATAACCCCATGGCCAACCTTATTTTCCCACGGACATTCGCGTTATTCTGAATGAGTGTAGGGAATGCCTGTGCCGGTAAAATACCGAGGAGCAGCATGTTATACTACTCGTTAATGAACTTATTAAATTATTTTGTATGGCTCCAAATACAAATAAATGTACTGTATCACGGGTGTTCGAAGGATATACCATCACACGCACACATCCACATTAAATTTTCACATTATTTACAATACTGTATGCTGTGAAGCTAGCTTAAAAATAAGCCATTTCTTTTCATATTTCAAAAATAATAAGGCTTATACAATAAATAAGAGGTACAGTTTTATTGCTGTTTATCAAAACCAAAACTTAATATCAGGAGAAATCAATTTAGCTGTCCATGATATTGTATGTAAGCCGTCTACATTAGTTGACTTGATACTGCTTTACAGTACTTTAAAAATGATACGGCTTAAGAGATATAGTTTTATTGCTGTTTATCAAAACCAGCAGAACTTAATCAGGAATAATAATTTAGCTGCCCTGTTTAATATTGTATGAATGCCATCAAGCAGTACACCAAAAAACAGCACACATGAGAGATCTATATATATATATATATATATACAGTACTGTATGCATGGTCATTATTGTACAACAATGAATCCAATCTCATAACAATGGAAAATAATCCACACAGAATGAACCAAAAAACATTACCCATCTTCCATACAGTCATTCTCTTACAATTATTGAAAGATTACCATCAGACAGCAGGTTTTTCATCATTTTTTTCATTTAGTACATATTGCACTTTTGTCCAAGAACATCACCATTTCGTCACCCAAATATGCCTAAAATTTTTTTGCCACTGCTGTTGCCGGGATGGATGTCAACAATGAAATACACCAGTATAGTGACAAAAATTCAGCAGTGTATCACTTCCAAATAACTAGCGTATAATTTTTGAACAACAGTTCAAATTCTTTATAAAAATGCTGTGCTTTCATTAACAAATAAGACATGTGACAAAGAGCGCTGCATTATTGTATAATGACTGAAGTGGTCCTCCTTTTCTTCACCATTGTCAGAACTACCCCAGCATTATGTACTGCTGTAGGCATCAGGTACGGCATTGTTTCCAATATATAGTGCTTTATGGTATACAAAACATTTGAAATCGAATGATCATAAAAACCATACTGACCTGCAGAACGACGACAGGAATGCGGAAGCAACTCGACTCCTATCAATTCATTCGCATACTCATTCACAGGACAGCTATAGATCTACAAAATTATCAAAGCAACTCATCTATATATACTGTACAGCCGATCTGAGAAATAAATACTACATGTACATAAGTACCGTATCTTCATACAACTCGGCGGTTTGTATCCGAAGTTGCATGTTTTTTTTTTAAAGCTTATATGCGTTCAAGCGACATACAACTCGATGACTTGAAAGTTACACCAGTGAATCAATCTTCAATTCAGCGCACCACGACGCATACTTCATTTTCCGAAAGAATTCGCGCACACGTACATAACACTCCCATCGAATTTCTCCTTCAACACGGTACACCGTAATAAAGTCAAAAACCTACACAAATGCCGTTTCATAAAAAAAAACAATTGATTTGACGAAGGCGAGACAATTATTAAACTGAAATACTGCTTGACAAAGCACAAACAAATTGAAAAAACATTGAATTTCACAGAAATCAGGGATCGAGCAACCATCCATACATGCTTTGAACATTTGAAAAAAGTCGGCCCACCACACCCAAGTATACAGTACAATGGGTTTCTCAGGAGTCCTATGCACGCCATTATAGTTTCATCGCACGCGAATAAAACCTCCACTTCAAATTTTATTGGCATTTTATTCATTTTAAATAAAATTGAAAAAATACAGTACAAAGAACAAATAAGAGATTCATAAATTTACTAGAGGGACTTATGATTTATGGAGAGCATCAGGAAGAAGTTGAACAAAATTCCAAGTCCTCAGTTATGATGAAGATGCTCCAAGGTTTCTCAGCTGTCTTCAACAATTGCAATCACAATAACGAGCGTAATCTTATCACAATTTTTTTTTACGGCACTTATTATCGACAATAAACTCAATCCGAAATTTTCCGGAGCAACTGAGCAAGATGATTTGAAAGATGCAACTTTTTGAAATTTCCCTCTTTACAGTTCGTTTTGTTATTTGTAGGAGTTTCTGTGACTGACAGACAACCCATAAAATTTCAATGTACGCGTTACATGTATTTTTTTAACAAAGAATTCTCTCGTCGCATAAAACAGAGTTGAACATTGATTTGCTTCTTGCGTTATTCTGAGCGAAATGGGATGAAACTCATTTAAAAATCGTTGTAACCAAATACTTATGTTTCACCGGCAGCCAGAAAGATTTGGGCGATTTGCGAGACTTTTGATGGACTCCTCACATCACACTCATGGATGGATGAACTATACGCTCTGAAGCATTTAAAGCAGGACATCGCATAATTACTTCACGAAAATACCGTCAATGTAAAAACAATCATTCGAATCACTCTCCCGTCCGCAGAAAACGCTTGTTAAGCTTCAGATCCTGACATTTGTTGAGGAAATCCACCAATCCGGAACCGTTGAGATTTAATGCATCCCCACAGAAACCAGTCACGTTCTCCAAACACGTTTTTAATGATGCTGGGCAAAGCATTGAAAATTGTAACATGAACAGCAAAAAGACATTCTTCGCCTATTTTACCTTTTCCCGAAGAATTTGGAGCATCGTAGGTTTCTTGCGGATGACTACTGGCGAAATGCAATCTCATGGCATCTTCAGTAGACTCCGTGTGACTACACAGCTTGCATTTAATCCTTCAATGAATAAAATCAAAGGTTGAGAAAATAGGTTTTAAATCTCGAAAAATGCTTGGAATGAGACTACATGTACAATTAAAATGCATGAAATATGGAAGTTTGTCTGGATTAGCACGCGCGGAGAATCCATAGCGGTAACCAGACGGAATAGCCTGATTTCAGAACTTGAATATCTCCTAAAAATGTGAACATAATTTCAGAAAAAAAAATTCCAAATTTAAGTTTATCCCATAATTTTTCCATTGCTGAGAATTCATGGCTTTATCTGCATTGATATGACCATCATGGTTAATTACAATATCTTAGAAAAATGCGTATATGTGTCCTTCAACCTCACGTTAGCATTTTGATTCAGCAAGTTTTCTCTATACCAAAAATTGAGATTTTTCTCAAATTTAACTTCGATGACGTGAAATGTGCTCGGTGTGCCTTAGATCATTTGCAACAACAGCTTGTAGTAATTTTTCTCCATGTTAAAAAAAGGACGCAACCATTGCCGCTGGAAAGAAAATCTGCAAGGCGTCGTTGAAAGGCATAGACATATTGCCCCACATTCAAGATACATTAAAATATAATCTAAACTTCAAAAAATTAGATTAAGCAGGATAAAATACGAAGGTGACAAGCTATGCGTCAACATTTTTCAGGGTACCTGTGTTGGCGTATAGTTCTGAAGTCGAGACACAAATGTACTCATAGGAATGATACTTATTATATAAACTTCTCATAGACATACAACAAAATTGTCCTAGACATAAAACATTGACCCAATTGGCGGTTCCAACCGTCCAGAATACAGAAATAGCTTCAATACCCCATAAATCAAATGGAAGCTCATATGCTTACATATGCTGCGGTTTCTTGGAAGAGTGTTCTCCTCGCGAATGAGCCCTGAGGGCACCGGACGACGCAAACCTAGCTCCACACAAATCACACGGATGTTTCAACAACATGTTGCCAAAGCCTGGTGGCTCAACAACATTTATGAATCCATTTGAAAGCTTTGGCTTGGACGAGTTGAGTTCTCCGGCCAACGAGCAATTGTCACTACTGTCCGCGAGGTAAGATATTTCTGCTTTCGTCTTCTTTATCCTTGTGAGTTCAGAAGAAATGGCAGGATGTCGTATCCTCGTCAAAAATACGTCAGCAGTTGTTTTGGGGAAATCCAGGATGGACATTCGGTAATGTTCCACCCTTTTGAACTTTTCAATCCCGTCCTTTCCTGGAGTATAATTCATTCTCTCAATTAAAAATGCAATGGGTGATCCAAACGTTACTTCCATAAAACTTCCAAGGTTTCCAGCAATGAACGAGTAATACAAAACGGGCTTTTCAGCAAAACATACGGTAAAAGTTTAAAAAGCGCAAACGTACTCGATCAATTTGAAATCAATTTTCTTTTCAACTCACTGTTCGCCGCAACTTTCTTGGGAATGAGTGAATCTTGTTCGGAAACTAAAGGTTCCTCATTTTTTGACACGTCAGATGAGCACGCAGGTTCTTGAATCACGTGTTCCACATGATAAATATCTTCCTTGCGGTAAACGAAGCTGCTAAGATCCCGCAGGACTGTTTGCCATCTCGTGGCCATCACAAGCAGAAGATCTGGTTGAACACAAACGTTCTGATAGGCGAAATGCATTTCCCGACTGTGCGAAATCATCTCAGAATGGGAAGCGCACAGAAGATGGCAGGCATTGCATTGCAACAATATGGGACCATGCAGTCGCAGGTGATTCCAGAATTCTTCGAATGAACGCAAGTCAAGCCTTGGACAATGTGGACAAATAAGACAATCCACATGGCCACTGTCAATCATGTGTTCTTTCAACTCTTCCAGAGACGGAATCAACGCCCCGCAGCTTGGAACAGGGCACTTGAACCTAAAGAAGAAAGAGAAGCATATAATACTGTACATGCTCACTTCAAGAAATACATGGCTATAAAAATCGATAAAATTCATTTTCAACAGTTGGCCAACTAACCACAAATAAGATTGTCATAAGAGTGATACTTACATAAGATTAAAAAGATTGGATGCACGAACAATAAAAAGTTGCATCATAAATTCAAATACTCAATACTGTATCCGTACTCTTCATAAGTGAGGCAATACTCCCGTCTTCAATTCCAACATAATTCAAGAGAAAAAATATTGCACCACCACATTTCTCACCTCAACTCTTCCTTGACAAATGGGGGATACTTGGTTGATTTAATCAGGTCTTCGCCTGCAGAATTTGCGGGATGCTCTGTGCGAACAACCTCTTTTGAAGAATAGGCCAAATTCGCCATTTTCACATCCTCGTTCTTCCCTAGTCCACAAACTTTGTTCATGGCTGATGTTGAAGGCACAACCAGAGACAGGTTCCGTAAAGCCTAACGAGATAAGCTTCACGTTTTCAATCCGGCAATATGATTAAAACAAAAGTCATCTCACTGCTTTATGAAGAAGACAGTGTTGTTTGACGGAGTCCACGAAAGCTGACGTGAATGGACACACATTGCAACTCCATTCAAAAGGAAGAAATACTCCACCAATCGCATTTTCCATGCCGGGAACGAAAATCTTGCTCGACGAGGCGGGAAGTAAAACCACAACCGGATCAACACAGCCCGATGCCTTCAAACTATCCTTTCCGGAAAGATTCCTGGCATCATTGAGATTATCAGCAGGTATCACGATGTAAGCATTATCTTGTCGATGCTTCCTCCTCCAATGGGAATTCAGTTCCGCATTGGGAACCGGAGCGTCGCACGAGCCACAAACGTAATTCACATCGTTAACGTGGTGATGCGCCCAATGCTTCAGATAACTGGAGAAATAAGACCATAATGACAAACTATAGACATCAAAAGAAAATCACTTTCTATTTTTCCAAACCTGAAAGCAGACTCTAGACTAGACGTTTTCTGGCGGTTAGAAACACAATACGGACATGACAAGATTCTTTTCAGCGAACACGTCAGAACGTGGTTCCGGAATTCAGACAAGCTTGAAATATGTGCATCGCATGATTTTCCTTTGACCAATGACGGACATGCAAGCATGTTCCTCGCTGGAAACTTCTCCATTTTCTTCATACCCAAACCAACCTGGAAATATTAAGGTCATCACATTACATTTCCCAAAAGACACGAACGTAAAAAACGTAAGTCCTGGGTCAATTCTCGGAAATCTCTTGATTTAGATGAGCCTAAAAGTAGCTTTCATCGACATTGAGACTAAATGATACAGCCTGAATGAGAATTTTACTTCAAGAAAAAATGCAAAGCACAAGGAAATCTGTTCAAGCGTATCTTTTGATCAACGATCTCACACAAAGAACCTTATTACAATATAGCTTTATACATTCATGAATTTGGAGGAACATTAAACTTTAGCCCTGTTTAAAATTAAAAAATAGCAAAGCGTATGTGCTTCGACAATAAATTTGCTCGACAGAAATTTCATCGCAGAAATCACAACTTTAGCTTTATTCCCACCCCTCATTTTAATTTCACCAAGATTCAAAAAATTCGAGAAGTGCCAACACTTACATTGCCTGAAAAAGTTCTCCGGGTTTTAGGATTTAAGGTTCTGTTTTCAATTATAAAAAAAAGAAGAGGAGATCATCTGTGTCTTGCCTCGTGTCAACAGCTTGCAACCTGTTTGGAATTCATCGGCTACCAATTTTGACAAAACTTTCCGAATCCACGATAACAGAATGTAGCAAGAAAATGAACCCCCAATTAATTTGTCTCAATGTAACACTGCCATTTTTCGAGGGTATTATACTGTTCTAAAATTCTCTAATATGCTTGAAGATAAATTCATGACACGACGGAAATTCGACTGGGAACTGTGGATCATTCTTACTTTTGACTTCGAATTGCAACCATCAGCTCCATCCGACAGACTTTCAGGAACACGGAAGGCCAGAGAAATAGGACGAAGATCTAAATTCTCCAAGTCCCATTTGCATTCTGGGTGGCGCTCGAATGCGTGTTTGCATATCTCAGAAAACTTACGAAAACGTCTGGAGCACACTCCACAAGTGCCCTGATGGTTTTCATGCACATTCATATGCTGCACAATGAAACGCAAAAATTCTTTATAAAAAAAAGGAATCTCCCATGGATCGTTAGTTGAAGTCACCTCGAGAAGCGCAAAGGCTGACGCAAAGCTCGTTCTTCCCGAACAAATCCTGCACGGGAACTTCTGCATGCCATGCCCCAACAAATGGAACTCCATATTTTCCGGGTCACAATCCACGAAATTACAATCATCTAAAACACGCGATTTTGACAATTAATAAACTTCGAATTGATACATTGATGAACTGTACAATATAATGAATATAGTTAAAATATGATACGGTATTAAATTGAAAAGCCATCCTCACCAAAGCAGCATTTGTATGGCTGGCGGCAAAAAACCATTGGTTTACTATCAGTTATTATCTGACGAACAGGGACGGATGGCAGCAGGTGTTCATTCAAGTGGAACACTTCCTGAATCATTAAGAAAAATTGAACGTTATGCCAAGAATTGCATTCAACTCAACTGAAGATCTGCTCTTCAACAAGTATCTACGCGGATGGACAAACATACGCTTTGAATTTGCCGATCAGCATGTGAGAATTGTAAAGCTCGAAAACATTTTAAGAGGACTTCAAGAAAAATTTGAATGAAAAATAGAAACATGTCTCATTGTGATGTGCCTCGACAACAAATATGTTCGCATCCTAGAGCGAAAGAACCATATATTCCTTCGTTCTTTTCGGCATTTACAAAGAAAATTTTCCAGAAGAATACATTACTGCATCAAGTTATTCGCAGGATGATTCATAAATTGATCAAAGTAAGACAATGAATTACGATAGATTATAATAAGACTTCCGAAGGCTAACTATTCCAATGACGGATTTTTTGGAAAGTTTCTCCAAATTACTCGGTAAAGTCTCACTTGATGATGTTTCAAAGCAATCGTATCGCAGCAGCGAAAGAAGCAATTCCCGCATTGCACTTTACTTTGTCCATGAGTGCTTATCACATGAACCGCAAGTTCTTTCGGCAGGTTCGCAGGCTCAAAGCAGTAAGAGCAGAACAGGTAAGTCTCCGCGGCACATTTACGATGAGCTTTCTCAAGATGGCTGATGAACCTGAAATGCAATTGATACACACGAATTACCAGTTACAATTTTCACTTGAACATAATAATGGGTGTTCCTACCAATTCGGGGCATCGGTTGAAAAACAGCAACCATACTGCATGCATTTGAAGATATCTTTGGCCACTGGTTTCTCCAACATCGTTCTCAAACAAGATGACTTTTTCAGAACGTTATGTATCTTCCCAACTGGAATTCTCGACAACTTTTCAAAGCTCCAGGGATCAAAGGGTAGCCACTGTCCTGTACTCTTCATTCGCGCTTCCGGCAGGTCAAGTCCCACATGATTGAAGAAGTTCGCAAAGTTTTCCCAGGAACTGCACAGATCCTCCACGCAATCTCCTCCACCATGAAACTATTATACAAGAAAAACCGAGAAAATAGGCAGGCTGGACAAAAATGGAGAGGTCTCTCCGTTATGTAATTCCAAGGGACTCCTCCAAGTATACCTGGAACACATGCTGTTTCATTTCTTCTTCACCAGAACGTCTTGAGAAGCAATGAGGACACTGATACCGCAGATTTCTGTGCTTTGTGAACACATGCTTCACCAAATGGGCGTATACAAGGAATGCCTCTGAACAATAAATGCACTTGGCAATTTCCTTTTCTTCCCCTCTGTGCATCAAATGCATGTGGGCATAGAACGCTGTGGGGTTGCTTGTTGAGAAATCACAGAAGGCGCCTGCACACTAGGAAGGGAAGAAAGACGATCAACAGACAATTCTCTATAAAAGCGGAAATAACTCTTACCTTGTACAAATGAGCTTTTTTGAAAGGTTTGGCTGAAGAAATTTGACGCCTGAATGCTTCTTGGGATTTTGTTGGCTTCTCTTCGGCGATTGTTGCATTCAACTGTACGGAACAAACCAGAAAATATATTTTAAAACATAATTCCGAAATATGGCACCCTTCAGTCATAAAAACCATAACGAAAAAAGCCAACATTTCCCATGCTCTACATTAAAATATTGTTACAAAGAACCATTGGTTAAAACGAAGACATTTTCAAAGTACCTGGGCAACAGCAACTATTCCACTTTGAAAAATTATTGTCATAACAAAGCGTATTTTCTGGTCCCAAGAGCTTTTTTTCAACGAGATTTTACTATATAGAAGAAAATGTAATAACTGTACCAATATATAGAGAAGATGTGCCATTCACTGTGCAAGGCCACAACTGAAGATGCATTATAAAAATATTTAAGGTTTCACACAAGGTATATAATACTATACTAACCGGTTCAAGAATCAAATTTTGGAGTTTGAAGCCATCTTGCAAAGGCAACTCCTTCTGGCACTTGTATCTTCTCACAAAGTGCTTGCATGCGTTTTCATTCAAACGCTCAGGAAACTCTTGCAAATTTTCAGTGCTAAGCAACTGCTTGCAACCGAAGGCAATAAGAGGGTCAAACATAGTTTTCTCGTTGTCTGTTGAAGGGTGATGATGGACAAAATTAGATAGACCTCCAACTTCAAAATTCAACTTGACACTTGCTTTCGGAGATCTTAGACATTTCTCCAAAAGAGCATCAGCTTCCAAAAATGTTGCCCCAATTTCATCGAATACTTGAGCATTGCTCCTGCTACTTCCTTCTGCAACTTCGGTGTTTATCTTGAGAAATCCCGTTCCAATGTTGACAGAGCTTGTTTTTGATGCAAGATCAGATGATGAAGCTGTGGGGATATCACGATTTTTGTCAAACATGAAGGGCATCACTGGAGATCTGCGATAGACAATTAAAGCATAGTAGGATCAGGTTGTAAATCAGCCAGAGAATCAAAACAGACATTGAAGTTCCTAAACTGATGGCCACTCTGAAATCCCTTAATTAATGAGCAGAAAAAGATGATGGAAATGCCTCCAGCAGCACAACCGCACTGCAAAATTTTTTGTCTGTGTTTTCAAATGACACTCCGCGCGGTTTGGCAACCTCTGAAGTGAAGGCAGCCCTCAGAAAGCATACAGCATACATTTTTGCTACTTTAAAACTGACCAGAATAATTATGCAGTCTCGATCAGTTAACCTGAATACAGTACAATATTCTGATATATCATGCGGAATAGGTAGTACAGGACTATGATACAGTTCAATTTACACTATACTACAGTTTTCCTCTTCACAATCCTGTAAAGAGGAAGTGTTAGCTCCCACCTCCTACAGACAGCTGTCTGTAGGAGGTGGGACCTATAACACTCACATTCACAGGAAGTGCACATAATCCAGAGCTGAGAGTGAGTCCAACACATGCGCCATGGGCAATTGTTGGAGCTACACTTGGTTGATAATCTTGTACAGCTGAGAGCATCCCTCTATTACAGCAGTTAGGCTTGAATTCCAATCAATTGAGAAGGAAGCAAAGATGGCTGAATACATGCCCACTTTGGGCCATTCTACTTCTTCTACATTAAATGTGATTATCTGATATTCTGGACAAAACACTTCGAAGATTTCTTTCAATACCCTGTAGAGACAATGCACTCTTTTTGTATGTTTCACTATATTGCTGTCTGTTTGACAAAAGTACCACGAATTATTGAGGATTATAGTATACTGTACAGTGAAATTATCAATTTATACTGTAATATGATTCACAACATAAAAATGCGCTCAATTTTCTCTTTTCAAATTGTGTCTACACTATTTTTAAGTAACTTATTGAGAAGCCCATTATTTCCCATGAAAAACCAGAAAACAAATATAAGAGCACAACATAAATCCCTAATCTTTGCCTACCAACATTATTCCGTTTACACTTCCTTTTGAGAATCTTCAAACAGAGTTCTGCCATAGTGACCGTGAATTACTCAAATAACTCGCATTTTCAGGAATTCTGATACATTACTGTACGGTACTGTACTTCCATTTCTTATAAGAGAATCCAGGGAAGATATGCTGTAGATTGTTAACCAAATACTTAGGAAGATCTGTGGCTTAATTCTGCAGATATAGTAAATTCTCGTGTACCTCAACAGTATTTCACTACTTTAGCATATAAAGCAAGAATTTGTCTCAGGTCATTCCCCAAATTAACATAATTTCAAATTACAATACATTTCTGCTGGAGTACGTGAGTCCCAGAAAACTGCACAAGATCTTACTGAAGTTCACACACGAATCACAACAAGTCAAATACTGTAATGTACTGTTCTAGATTTCAAAGGCTAGAATATTCCTAATCCGCGGATATCCTCAAAATCTAAGTTTCACACATAAGCTGGCGAACGAAGTATACCAGCATGACTGAACCTCGGACATACGGCTTCCCTTAGCTTAGTCCAATATACCTGCTTGCTAACATGAATGTTTATGTCCAGCCCTCATTTCGAAAACTGATGTTAGATGTCACTGCTGTGTGAAACCTTGCCAAATTGTTTCTATTATGATTTCATCCTGACGACTTATTGCACAGTATAGTTAAAAAAAAAGAGTGCACCTGAACTATCTCCTACACAGTATAGTTATGTGCAAGTGCCTACATCTGTATAGACGCCTGCATAGACAACGTTGCTCTAGCAGTAATGGTAAAAAATTATAGTAGATTAAAAAATTAATCTAAAAAACCATGTTTTCAAAAAGNCCAGCGCCCCAGCTTCCAACTCCCAACATTTTTGCTGGGTAGCTAGTCTGGAAGTGAGTGAAATTTGAGTTTCAAAATTTGATCCAGACAAACAGACAGACAAGAAAGTGAGTTCATAAAAATGTGGTAATTAATTTAAGCAATGAGGTTAAATGATGATGCATATAGGGTAAAGTCCAGTGCCTACAAGAAGGGCTTTATCTTTTTAATGGTACATTATTGCGCACCTTTTGTATACCGCGTCCGGGTATCCAGTGGTGGCGCACTCTCAGATCCGGCGGCTTTATTGGACTGCTTACGAGGTCTCCACACGATAAGATAGATGTCGCAGTACAAAATTCCTTTACTGCATTGACCGCTCGGCGGAACATGTTGATTTATGTGCAGCAATGGGTTATCAACGTACAGTAACGTACGACTAGTACGAGGAGTCCTGCTGCTCCGGAGTTCTGTACCCATGGCTGTCTTCGTTCTTGGGATCAGGTTCCCGTCGTAATCGCGGGAGCGTCTTTGTCTGTCGACTGCTGATACGCGGTAAATCCATGGACGAAGTCGAACGTTGCTCCGTTGTCAGTGATGCAGCTACGTGTCCATATGTAGAGAAGATCGAAAGATTTCGTGAAAAGCTCATGCAATGAAAACTGCGAATCTGTTGAACTGCATACAGTATCCTTAAACTCAGTACTGAAGTAACGTATATGACGCAATTTACCTCAGGGATTGACTGAACAAATAGGATGCATGTCAGAACTGTTGGTGCACTAAATTGGCGAGTGCAATTTATTTTTTTACTCCTGTCGGATTTAAAAAAAATGTCGAGTGGACCCATTTTTGAGCGCTAGTTCACTTGCTGCCGGTTGAAATTCAAGGGAAAATAGTTGAGTCTTGACGTCAGGTGAAAGTGTAGAGGATTTTAGATTTTTGCTCGAAAAATGAGAGGGAGCAATAGAATCCTCTGATTCCGGATGAGTAACTGAATGGTGTACTGTGCGATGAAAGCGCGTCTTATATTCTGTGGATGGATAGGTTGAATACAGATACGCAGAAGAGGTGCGTCTTTCATTCGAGTGAAACGACATTGCTCTACGGTGTTCTTTTTTATTTTTATTAATTGCGTGATCCGTGAAAAATATTATGTTAAGACTTGCTTAGGAAGTCCACCTCAAGCAATTGTACTTGCAGATTTGTCGTGTTTCCAATATGGGTAATCTCTTGAGGTTGCTTTCGCGAGATGATTCAAATTGCTGCTCACCCCAGAAGTACGACATATATTTAGATTTTGAAAGTAAGTGTTTCAAAATTGGAAAAAACTATCGATAACACTTCCAAATTTATTGTGTTCACCATGCAGATGCTTCTCCAACGGAGAATGAGCTTGCCGTTTATGAAGAGGTAAACGAAGTACTCAAACGTTGTGACGAAATTCTACAAGAATTGGAAGGATACCGTGGAGCCGGTGAAGAAATTAGAGAGGTTTGTTCTATCTTGCGGCGTGGGTGCGACATTTGGTATTACGATGTTGCCACAGTGCGCGTCGGTTACTACGTTATCCCACCATTATATTTTTAAGGCAATTTCACAACCCTCTGACGAGAAGCAGATTCTTGCATGGAAAGCAATTGCTCCTTTGGTCATGAAGCTCAAGAAATTTTATATGTTCTCGATGGAAGTTCGTGAGTACCGGATATCCGTCAGTTAGTGATGGTTCTTCTGATCGAATCCAATTGTTTTCCAGAGAAACTGGTTCCAAAAATATTGGAGCATCTAAGTTCCGGTCCTTCATCTACGATGGAAAATTTGGAAACGCAACAGGCAATCGTTAAGCAATTCGCAGAAATATTGCACTTCACATTGAAGTTTGATGAATTAAAAGTGAATGATTTTGAGTTCTGTGTTCCAACCCTGTAAGCGGTTGCTAATTTTTCATTGTTTTTTTTTCGTTTTCTAGATGAACGCCCCGGCGATACAAAATGATTTCAGTTACTACCGAAGAACTATAAGTCGTTCAAAAATTTCGAAAGTTCAAGAGCAGCAAAACGGAACGGACGTTCAAGATGATTTCTACATCCCGAGTGACTTCGCCATAAACATGTCCATGTTCTACGCTCATGCTACACCTATGCTGAAAGTTTTGAGTGATGCTACGTCAGCCTTTGTTATTCAGAGCGAAACTCCTTCTACAGTTCAAAATACGACGGAGATGCTGGGAACAATGGCTCGTGTTTGTCAGCGGATGATCGATAATCAGTAATCGAAAGACATTCACTTCCATCAAGGGTATTTCATTCTCGGGAATCTTTTCATACAGGGACCTCATCAACCGGTTTAAGTGCTGTGAAACGCACCTCTTCGTGCTTCGTGTCATGGTTGGCCTAATCATTTTGTATGATCATGTTCATCCCTCTGGCGCCTTCGCGAAAACATCGTGTATCGACGTGAGTTCAGTTCATCTATCTGTCGTTTTCTTCTTGTCTCTGACTGTGATGAAATTTAGATCAAGGGCTGCATTAAGGTGTTGAAAGAACAACCGACGTCGAATTCAGAAAATCTGCTGAATGCTCTGCGCTACACGACGATGCACCTGAACGATGATTCGACACCGAAAAACATTCGTGCCATGCTCGCTACTTGAATGACGTTCACTATTCGGTAGAGGACGTGATAACCTGTGAATTTAATGAGAGCATCAAACGATTTCGCGTGCTTCGTTTAGTTTTAAACAAGTTCATAGGGTACTTCAGATTCGATGTTCGTCGTCATTCCATTTCTAATGGGCATGTGAAAAACTTGTCGAGCTTTTAAAATCGCCGTGTGGTGAAGTCACTAGAAATAGTTAAGTTGTAGTTATATTCAAATATAACCGAAATTGCATGAGCTAAGATATGACTTGGATTGTGTATTCTGCTTGGGGGAACTCCCGTTACGTTGTGTGCTGAAGAATGACGAGTATTGTATTTCTTAATTATACCATAGCGATCATTCTAATTCTTTCTTGAATAACTGCTATAATTTTGATTTTCTCAACAACTGTCGAGTTTTCTGTTTCACCGAGAATGTTGTTGAGAGAGCCTTGGTTCATTCGCGGGCGGCAGTTCTGCTTCAAAATTTAACTTCGGGATGAAAACTTGCCTTTGGGATTATAGATATTCTCTCGAGCTATGAAGACCAAGCTGCTGCAGAATTGTCAAATTTTCAGCATTTTTTCAGGATTTAAATACATACTGTTTTGAGACTTTATTTGATTACATTAAAGACTTGATTTTTGTTGGTACATTTTATTTGGTTGTAGGACAACTTTTTACATGCTATCCAACTGACTATGTGTAGCACTCCGATTTTTTCGATCAAATTTCGGCAAAACGACGCTTACTATTCTTGAGTGAGTGAGTTATCAAGTTTTCTGAAGAGTGCATGCTTTAGTTTTCATGTGCACAAGGATTGCTGATTTGAGCAAGTAAAGCCGAACAGTTGCTAAGTTCAGAGTATTTTGAATGTGGTTTACATTTCGAGTTCGGTGGTGACGTATCTTAAGGATAGAAACACGATTACTTAATTCTAATCTAGTCAAGCATAAGTTCACCGTGATCTTAGATTGACTCGTTTTATTGGAGTGTATTCCTTCTTCGAAGATGTGAACTATTTTCCTATTCTTTGAAGCTTGAGGTTGTTACAAATGCGTTTCATGTTCGGTGAGCCTAGTTTTTTGAAACACACGGCGAAGCCGATTCGTGATATTTTTCGACGCGGATGTTGAAGCTTTGCGTTTTGCTTTCCTCGACAGTTGCCGGTACTGTGAGTATATTTTTTTTCAAGTCTAACATTTTGGGATCAACGCAGAAACAATGTAATTCGATCTTGCGTAAGTTTTCGTTGTCTTTCTCGGTGTTGATTTATGGCCAGTGCATTTTATTCGCGATTTGTTTCATATAGATATTCGGTGTCGTTGAAGTTTGTGACAAGTTTCGAAGTGTGACTTCTTACATTATGGACCGATACTCGTTGACAGAAGGGGTTTTTGTGGAGAAAGAAGTCTTCCTTCTCGGGGCCAGTCTCAAATGAATTCTGAAGTTTTTATGTATGCACGAATGTGCAATATTTCTCAACAATTTCGACGATGTGCTCAGAAAATACTGTACCACATTCTTTTTCGGGATAAAAAATTATGGTCTCACGTGAATCGTGTCCAATATATTCAATTTTAATGCTTCGGGTGAAGACAATTTTTTAAATTTTCATAAGCGTGAGAATCGTAATCTCATTTTGAAAAAATAGCTGCATGCGCACAAAGAATTGTTCTGCAGGATATTATGCTCATTTTTGACAGACTATAGTGCTATACCTTCATAGTTATTCGCTTTTGACGTTTTGAACGAAATAAGTTCCAATTTATGACTGGTCAGAAGAGAACGCGTTTCAACATTTGGCGTGTGATATTCTTGTTCATTTGCACACCTTTGTATTATTTTTATGATATACTTTCGCTGACTGTGTTTGTCATGGTGGATGGATTCGTAAACATTGCCGCGGTTTGCTATTGATTTCCAACGACGGGAAATAGTGTTGATGTTGGTACAGCCGTGGAAGCTTTTTTGCGATCGTCAATACCCATGACCGAATTGTTCTTGTTTCCCGGATGCGCGGAATTAATTTCCGCAGCTGTCACGAGGAAATTTCATGAATCAGCCATGATGCTTTCTTTTGATTTATTTTATTTTCTGTAATGACGATTTCATTTAACCACCGCGATGACTGCGAAAACGATTCATCATTTTTGAACGTATTCCGTGTAAAACAAACTTCAGAATGTGATGCTTTCTTATTCAGAAGAAGAAACACTTCGTTTTTTGTCAGAGTTATGTTGAATTTTATTTATGCATCGTATTTGCTCCTAAAAGATTATTTCTAATCTCTCTTTCCACTGCATTAGTGGCTCTTTGGATTGTTAGATTGCGTTTATCGATTGGTTGTCGGATTGTGATGCCTCCCAAGCGTAGAAAAGGTTCGAATCCCATCAAAATCGAATACGAAGAGGATCAAGTGGAACGAAAAATCGGTGATCAAGTCATCAGCGATCCTAAAAACATTAGAAAGAAAATCAAAAAAGAGGAAAACAGATTTCCTGATGTTAAACGCGATTTGAAGTCGGAGCCAGTAGAAGATGTCAAGTGGGAACCGCTGAATTGGCACCGGGTGTTCACGAACATCCGAGAAATGAGGAAGAACTTGGACACTCCCGTCGACGACATGGGATGCGAAAGTTGTGCAGATGAAGCTGCCGACCCTAAGGTGAGATATTCAAATCGGAAAGGTAGAAAATTCTGTCTAATCGCATTATAGTACATTATCTAAAAATAAGTGAGTGCTGGGAAGCCGACTTGGTGGATCAAAATAATTCTTGCGTCGAGTACCCGTACCATAAAATGCGTAAATTGTTGCTTTCCGTTCCATGGTTTTTCAATGGACCGTTGTTGCGATAATGGAGTGTTATAATTAATTATGCAGTACATGTACTGCACACGATTCGATCCCCAGCGTAACTTGTTTTAGAAGCATTCGTCGTTCTGGTGCACTGAATATTAGTGCGAACGAATGTTCAGTGAATTTCAAGAAATTTATCTTTCATGAATATTGCAAGCATGTTATGGAAATGGTAAGTAGAGATTTGGTTTTGTTCCAAATTGATTGTATTCAATTTTCATTTGTGCTGAAACTCAGCTTTTTATCGTTCACAAGGTTTGAAAAACATTGATTTGATTTTTCAAAAATGTGCTCCAGAATTTTCTTCACGGTTCTGTAAGAGCTTGCTAGGATGTCTTTAGCTAATGCAAATTTCGGGATTAAAAACCGAAATAAAAATCAATTGCAATTTGCATGTCGTGCCTATGCAATTTAAATTTCTGGAGACACGGGAATGGATTACACAATTCAAATGTGTTCGTAAAATTTCAGGTTTTTCGGTTCCATCATTTAGTGGCCCTTATGTTGTCGAGTCAAACCAAGGATCAAGTTACTCATGCAGCCATGCAAAGGCTTCGTGCTGAAAAATTATCGATCGACATGATCTTGGAAACGCCGGAAGTAACCATTCAGACTTTAATTTATCCGGCCAGCTTTTACAAGGTGAATACGAAAATTTATTCTTTTGAACTACATTTTGGTTCCGAAGCTCGAGGTCATGAAGAGGAATAAAATGTACAGTATGTTACTGATTCGTTATCGGAAATTGAGCAGAGAAAGGCCATTTACTTGAAACAAGTGGCGCAGATTTTGCGAGAGAAATATGACGGAGATATTCCCGACTCCGTCGAAGGACTGTGTGCTTTGCCTGGCGTCGGTCCGAAGATGGCGCATCTCTGTATGCAGTGTGCATGGAACACAAATTCTGGGATCGGTGAGTGAATGAGCCTTGCCAGTTTTCCAGAGCCACGAGCAAACGCGGCAGTATGTATGCCAAGTTTTATTTGGAGAAGTTATTTCGAATGACGCATCTCCATTATTAAATTAACGATACCGCGCTTGGACGATGAAAATTGAAAAGTTTTCCATCGCTTTCGTGCTCTGCTATGATCCCCATGATTGAGCGAATGCCACTCTCAGAAGATGTGTCCGTAATTTCATAAAAGGTTTCCTTTCTCGGGAGGTTTTACAGCTGCATTCATGTGTCAAATTTTGATCATACTGTACTTATTTTACCAAAAACTAAAAAAAATCTTTTATCATGGATATTGTATTATTAAAAATGAGCATACTGTAAAATTAGCTTAATTACTTCCGCAAGCAGATCGTTGTCATTTTTCCGAAATGATCTTCAGGAGTGGATACGCATGTTCATCGAATTGCAAATCGATTGGGGTGGCTGAAGAAAGAATCGAAGATGCCGGAAGAAACTCGAAAAGGATTGGAAGATTGGCTGCCGAAAGATTTGTGGCGAGAAGTGAACTGGCTTCTCGTTGGTTTCGGACAGACAATTTGCACTCCACTGCGTCCAAAATGTGCGGATTGTCTGAATAAATCCTTGTGTCCTTACGGTGCTAAAGCTCCAATTGTCGTTTCATCGCCTCGGAAGAAGAATTCATCGCGAACCGGAGTGAAGCTGGAAGTCCCGTAATGATTGCGTATTTTGAAGTCGTTTTGTACTTTTTTTTTTAAAAACCATTTGTACCTCAGGAGTATTTGGAACATGAAAATTTCCAAAAGGTTTCGATTCTTCTTTTATTAATAATTTACTTTATCTGGAGTTTTCTCTTGTTTAATACATTATTGAAAAATGTATTTCATTTGACTTGACCACACGAAAGCATCGATAAGGAGTCGAATTTCTTGGCTTTTCTTTGAAAGATGCTGTTCAATTATACGCTGGTTTTATGTAATCCGAATTTCACTGGAACAGCTTTTGAGCGTCTAATAGGCATCATGTAGAGCAATTGGTTTGTTGCCGCTTCGAATAAAGCTCTCATGATGGCGATCGGCTACTGTCAATCTTCACCCCTGCTGCCCACAAGCAATGTTGTTTTAGAAATTCGAAGCCTTGAGCAACTTTTTTCATTTTTTGTCTTCGGGGAAAATTTTTTGAAGAATTTTTGGCCTTTAATTATATTTTTCTGAGTTCCCGAGTTGAAATTACCTAGCTAACAGCTTTCTTGAAATCGAGATGCATTTTCTTTTTTCGATTGATCAAGGCCTTTTGCAGAGAATAAGCACGAGATTGCTGCGTTATCTTGTAAGATACTAAAAATATGTCCTTCATGACTCTCCCAGAAGTACGTAAACAATTTAAAAATTGATCCAAGGGAATTTCCAGAGAATTGAACCTGTAGAAATTTAGCGTGAGAAGAAAAATCACAGCTTCTCATTGGAATAACATTCTTTATCTAACTTCTTTCCAGGTAAAACATCGAACATCACAGGGAAAAAATCAGCAATTCGTAACATTTCAAAGGATGAATGATCGATACGAGATCAACGCTGTGCGAGTGGTGAGGAATAAGGTTACGCCCGTCTTATCAGGAAACGCTATTACGGACGTTGCTTCAGGAACTGCCAACGTTTGCCACTTGACGAACTGCTCCGGTCCTTTGTCCAAGTAAATCACGCATTTCTTTTGCACTGACGATACCGCGATGACGTACGATTGACCTGATGAGTGAGAATGTCTCGTTAGTTCGTATTTCAACCTGAGAGAACTGATGTGCAGTAATTTCCCGTTCAATTCCATCTTGTTTCGAAAGAAACAGTCTGTTCAACCATCAAACCCTGAATTTTAAAATGATCCGTTTTAATTCTTCTACGGTCGAACCTTATTTGGATGTCCAAATCAATTTTAATTTCAGAGGAAATGAGATGAACTGTTCATGGACAAATCTTTTCAAAAAAGGTTAAAAGTGAACATCATTGAATTCGTGCCTTAATTGTTCACAAACGTTACCCAAGTACCCGGTAACTACCTTTTTAAAAATGGTAAAGCGCAATAATGCTGCTCACATGCCTTTTCAGATTAATTCAACAGCTTACTTCGCGTATTTCTATCAAGTCATGCCAGAAAAAGTTCTTCTTACCGCCAAATTCATTAGATAGTTGATTTTTTGAAACAATGATCAAGATGGCGGAACGAAATCGAACGCGATGAAAACGGAACGGTTATGATGGTTCACATCAGGTTTCTAAAAATTTTCCGTTGTTCCTCAGAAAACTTAAATGGGTGAATTCTTTACCTTTGAACTTCACGAACGCCATATTGTTCACAGCAACGGAATGTTTCAGTTTGCTAACGACAAACGGCATGGACGGATCGGTGATGTCTTCAGGATGCGCCAATTGGTACACGAGCGGATTCTTTGAAAATGGATTTCCTTCTTTTGTGTTGGCGTGATGTTGGGCGAATATAATCACAGGACGTTGCAGCATGAATGCGATGACGTTTGAGCAGAAGTACGTTTCGACTTCCACCATGAGCTCGAACTGACAGTAAAAGGTTGAGAAACAGGAATTGAGGTGAGTAGATTGTTTTCGTGAAAAATCGTATGTAGAAGGAAAGTTGTGCAGGAAGTATTTCGTTTGCAAACTAAAATTACGAGCCGTCACCCAGAATAAATGAGAAATGTTTTTCAGTTAATTCTTTTCCTGAAAACTTCGAGTAAAATGTCGTGCTTGCTCCGATTTTCCAAGAGAGAGAAAAAATAATTTCAAACCGGAATTTACTCCGAAATTCTGAGAGGGAGCTGTAGCTCCCCCTAATTTTAGCATTTAACGAGAAGTCTTCGAACTGAAAATATGAAGTCTCGACTTGATTTGAAACTTCGAGAGTGCCTAGTGTCAAAAATTGATTTGAAACGTTGGTTCAATTATGGGTCGGAAGAATCATAAATTGAGTTCATCAAGTAAAAGATTTATATTCACCTTTTCGTCCTTCACTCCCATTCGATAAATGGCAGATTTCAAGACGCCAGTTTTGTTGACCGAATCGTAATTATTGCAGACAGCGCAGTAAAAGTATTCTGGGGTTGACAGAGTGGCGATTGACTCCACTCCGTTAGTTTCTATGAAGATGTCAGATTTTCGAACAAAATAATTGTTCGCGTTGTCGTATTCCAGTACATCAAGTTGAGATCTCGTCGTATCTGATCAGAAAAAAAATGCAATAGACAAAATCTGTTGGAATATTTGGTGGTGCTGTTATACGTGACCGACTCAGCAAAATTATGCCGGACCTTGGAGATGAAAATGTTATGCGCGATTGGCTGAATCTCCGACTGACCTTTGTCCATTTCATTGGAAATACTATAATATTCAGTTCTAGTGAAACTTGATTTATTCATCAGTTGAAGTGAGACCTAGGTTCATGCAAAGCAAGTCATGGGAAAGTTATACAAAAGTGTAGTGATCTGACGGTACCACTTTATGCTGCTTCATACGTTAAATCACTTCACGATGCTGGCATAGATTCACAATGAATTGAAATTTTTCCATCATTAGTAAACTCAATTTTACTCAGTTGTTCCTTGCGTAATGCATTAATTAGCTGTTTGCTTCGCTTTTTTGTATTTAATTAGGCTCAGTAATACGGCTAGTCACGTATGGCGAATCTTCGTTTTCTTGGGGTCATAGGTAACCGTTCCATGACATTTTGAAAAAGTGAATTTTTGTCATATTACCCCTGAATTTTCGGTCACCTGTCACACCTAATCTATTGGGTCATTTACTATATCGGTGGTGTACTTAATTTTCTCTAGTTCTAATTTCACCTTTAGAGCAATTGGTTTGTTGCCGCTTCGAATAAAGCTCTCATGATGGCGATCGGCTACTGTCAATCTTTACCCCTGCTGCCCACAAGCAATGTTGTTTTAGAAATTCGAAGCCTTGAGCAACTTTTTTCATTTTTTGTCTTCGGGGAAAATTTTTTGAAGAATTTTTGGCCTTTAATTATATTTTTTTGAGTTCCCGAGTTGAAATTACCTAGCTAACAGCTTTCTTAGAAATTCGAAGCCTTGAGCAACTTTTTTCATTTTTTGTCTTCGGGGAAAATTTTTTGAAGAATTTTTGGCCTTTAATTATATTTTTTTGAGTTCCCGAGTTGAAATTACCTAGCTAACAGCCTAACAGCTAACAGCCTAGCTAGAAGCTTTCGGTCACCTGTCACACCTAATCTATTGGGTCATTTACTATATCGGTGGTGTACTTAATTTTCTTTAGTTCTAATTTCACCTTTAACATGGTCGTATTTGTAGCCAATTATGACGAAGATTCGATTGTTCCACTCAACGAACGAAACGTCGCCGACGCTCAAATTGAGATCCAGCTTCAAATCCGTCAAAGTACGTTTCCTCCTCGAAAGGCCTTCGGGTGACTGAGAACCAGTTGAGGAGACGGCCAAGCTTGTCGATGGTTGATCGTTGGATTCATTCTTCGGCGAACGAATGACCTGATCTTCGGCAAATTTAACGTCAGCAACTGGAAAACTCTTGACTGTGGTGAACCGGTGAGTTTCTGGTCCGAAACATCTTTAGAATAAAAAAACAGGGAAACATCGTAGCCAGATTATTTCATGACCGAACCTGAAATACGAGAAGACTGGTCTACTTTCGAGACATGTGAAAAAAAATAAACGCGGATTTTTCAATTCAAAAGAAAGCTGGTTGTTCAACAAAATCTTCATTCAAGAATTTATCAGGGATGCTCAATGAAATCTTTTCCGCGTTGAATACTTAAAAAAAAAGGTGCTAAACATGGCGCCAATCTCCTGTGGGGACCGCTAGTTCTTAAATGTTAAAATAGATAGACCATCCTTCATTTTTGTAAGCAGAGGTAAATTTAATACTGTACATCAACGGGTTTTAAGTTTTTGTAAGTTTGGGAATGACATTCGAGTGAGTGAAAAAGCTGACTGGCGTTGGCGACAAAGTACGTCACGAATTTTCAGATATCTTGAAATTTTGAATCGTTGTAAATGAAAATCCTAGAAAATATCGCGCAGTTTCAGTAGCCACGTTTTCTTGAATTCGGAAATGTTTTATTAGTTTTATGGCATATTGGAAAAGGATGGTCATCGGTTAATGCGCAGTTGATGAAAATATTGTACTCAGCCCTGCACTTAATTGAATAAAATACTGGATCCACGTTTTTTTTTCAAGCGTCTCTTGCCGAAAGCAATAGAATTCCCCATCATTTTAACGAAAAAAAATCGTAAAATTAAATCAGTGCTCTTCGTTACATTACAGTACTGTAGTTCCTTACCGTTGCACGAAATTCTCCCTCATATCCGCGAAGACGTTGGTGGACACTTTGATGCCATACACGTTGCCGCTTTGGGGATGATGAGCGTAAGTTGTTCCTTGGTATTCCGCTACAAATAAGAGTTTGTGATTTTGCGGCTCGACGGAAAGGTGCACAGTTTCCCGGGAAGTGCAGAACCCAGCACTGGTGTCCTTGTGCATTAGGATTTGGGGCGATAAACCACTCGGGCGTTTTAAGAGCAGCATCCGAACTCCCCCTTGGTATCTGTACATGTCTCGCATCTCAAATTTCGACATCATGCCGCATCCTGTTGGAAAAATAATATTTTAAAATCGAGAATTTTGTCGACGCAAGCTGGCTTTGCTGTAGTCCAGATTTTTAGCGTTACCGTGAACCATGTACGATTTTAATATCCCTGATTTTTTTTTTTTAGCTTGATGCAAGGAACGACTGAATTATCCGGCGAATTTCTATGGTTGGATTTAATATGAAAAATTGAGGGGTTAACATTCGCTCGAGGAAAAAAACAACTTGAAAATAGGTTGCGAACTGAGTTGACAAAATCCAGGATATAAAGGATTCCCCTTGTGAAAAAGGAAAAGCTATTATAAAATTCACGCACCCTTCTTTTCAGCCATTTCCGTTCGCTTTCTTTCCAGTTCATTTTCCAAAGCTTTCAGAGCATCGCGAGCTTGAGTCTGCGGAATGTTGCCGTTGCCCGCCAAACGTTTTTCGTATTGAACTAAATGTTCTACGGGTGTCTCGTCATAATCGTCGATTATATCCGCGACATGAATTTCTGCATCCTTGCCCAGCTCGAATTTCTCTGTGAATTCCTGAGAAATGATGAAAAAAATGCGCATCGCATTCAACCTATTACATCATTACAGGTGGACCCTCTCTACATTGAAATTCGAGGGGCCACAAAAATAAATTAATTCGTAGTAGAGGAGCCCTGAAACATGGGGAAAGAAGTGAAGAACCCTATGGGACCAAAAAATTCGTTAGGAAAAAATCGTTGAAGAGATAGTAAACCTGTATCTCGAAATATTGCGCATAAAATATGGAGTAAGACTGATATCTTTTCAGAATTCCTCGGACTATCTATTCTTATTTGTTCCGAAAATTCTAAGTCTATTGCGGAAATCATGTTTAAAACGCACAGTATTCGACATTTCCTAACCGTAAAATATTTTCCAAATGAGCTATTTTGCTACAGCTTCAGTAACTTGCTGGTCAAAGCCTTGAAAAACTGAATAGCTTCGAATGTTAAATTTGGAGCTTTGGATTTTAGCATTACGAATTGACGATATATATGTCTAAAAATTCAAATTTTGACTGCGCGTCAGACACCTAGATTCTTTTCTTTCGAACTCAAAATATAAAAAAAGTCCAACAATAGACTGCTAGATTATGTCGCGGTTTGAGCGTGGTGAACACTTCTGCTAGTGTTCACTAGCAGTTTCTTAGTCATTTCCTTGCAAGTTTTAGAACTTTTGAAAAATCTCATCCTACGAACCACGTTGTCGAAAGTCATTTCCCGGTCGACAGTGACGTAATCGCTTAGGAAAGTGTCTCCGTCTTGGTCGTTGATACGCTTGACCTCGCAATTTCCGTAAACATGGACGGTTCCTTGAACTTTGACGTTTCCGGGCATTTCTCCGTTTTGCGTTTCCGAAGTCGTGACAATTTCTTTTGGCTTCAAATTGTTGATTCCCTTGTTCACGCAGAGCGTTCCTTCATCATGAAAGGAGATGGTTTTCACGCGAAAAGCAAATCAGATTTAACTTGGCAGCTTAACGAGTTTTCGTCGGCTAAATTAACGAGCTTTTCTTCGTTCTTCCTTTGGGTTTTCTTGAAACTTATGAAAACAGGAAGGAAATTCTGCTAACGAACGTTCTTCCGACTACAAGACGGACGTCTTTAAAAAAAAAACATTTTGAGGGCAATAGTGTTTGTATTTCAAGATTAAAAGAATAAGATACGGGCAAAATGTTGCGGTCAGATTCCAACGCTAAATTCAACAACTGCGGCACTTGAGAACCTGTTTTTCAATTGATTTCAGTTCAAAGCTAGGCCGTTTGAATGAACGCATTTTACTACTTCGCAGTTGACAATTATTTTTCAATTAAATTAAATGGATAGACGGTTTCAAGAGGTGCTTGTATCACTTCGGAAATATTCGCCACAATGAATTGCTTTCATCCCTCGTTTTTTCTTACTGTACGAAAAAATGAATTGGAAGGATTTTGATTTTACCGCATTCTCCTAGGATCAACATCAACTCGTACATACATTGCAAGTGATTCTTGAAAAATTTCACAGGTTATTTTTTTCGATGAGCCATATTTTTGGGGAAATTAGACAGAAATGTAACTGCTTCTCTTTCTCGAGCAGAATAATTTCAGACTACAGTATTTCACCGTATTTTGATCCAAGTAAACCAAGGCAAAAAGAATAGCTAAATCTTTCTAGTTTAAAAAAAAAACCGGAATCGACGAATCACGATTCTTTCACCTATTTTGACGTTTTCCCGAGTGCGAAGTTCTGGAATTTTTTGTACTTTGTCGCTGGTCAACAAATTTTCCAGCTTCTGTTTGAATGGCCAATTGTTCAACATGGTAGCTTCCAGATTCTTCACAGTTAGGCCTTTTGCGAAAGTGAGCGGCTCCGAGATGACTCTTGAGTCATTTTTCCGAATAATGTCGTCCAACGATGAAATATTATTCAACGACCCTGAGCAATTTGAAAATCGAGTCAGCTTTAAGAAATTCACTGAAATTAGTAATTGCATGATGGTACAGTAGTTTACATTTAATACTACACCCTGAACTTTCGGATTAGGCCAATAATCACCATTCAAGATAATCACAATTAAATGTATCTTACGTTCAAGACATGTTTCATAAATACTGTACCCAGATTCCCGCTTTGATCTGCAGCCTCTTAAATATGATACCTTAAAGATGAGTTGTGACAAAATATAGGAAAATTTTATTCTCAAAGCATCGGGGAATTTTTATGCAGACTAGGACTTCTCGAGAGTTGATATCAAAATAATCCAAGAAAAATAGTTAAACAATGCGAGTAGATGGCCCAGTTACGATCAACTCCAAAGAAGCAATTTTCATAAGTTAAGATGAAATTCATTGTCATTCAGACCGTAAGAATTTTCCGAAGAAATCTTTTAAATCTTTTTATGTATTCAAAGTCACTCGTACGAACTGCCGAAAATGAAAAATTTCACTCGAGTTTAAAATGTTTTTCTTTACTTGGCCTCCCTAATCCACAATTTTTAGATGTTCATAAATTAGCTGGAATGAGATTTTTGAGAAGTTAAAATTCGAATTCGTAAATATCGTAATCCAAGTATACTGTATTTCTGATTAAATTGAGCAGCTGAACAACTGTGAAAAAGATCTTTTTTGACCCGCCAAACGATGACTTAGAAAAAAAAAAAAGATGAATTTGATGAAAATTCGAGGCGAAGTTCCGGCATTGAGTGAAAACTGCTCTCAAATTGACTGATAAAAATGGCAATAAACATCGTGACTCACCGGATATTTCCGCCTGTTTACATGTGAGGTTTTTGAATGTGGATGGCTGATGAATCAGAACTTCACGTTCAGTCGGTGACACTAAATTCGCCGCTTCCGCCGACAGGTTTCTTCCGTTGATTGTAACATTATTGGACAATTTGGCAATGAGTTTCTTGATACTGCATTTCCCTTCAATTTGCAAGTTTCTCAGGGGCTTCTGAGGATCGAAAAATGAACCGACTAGATTTCTCAGCTACAATAACGCATTCAGCAGCAGCCATTCGAGTTTCATGGCTTGCATGAAGCGCCATCTACAGGTGACGTTTACAAGCTTGTAGATGGCGATTTACTCCAAAAAGATTCCTTATTTTTTGCGCCATAATCAAGTAGATGGCGTTGTAATCCATTACCTATCGAAATTATTCCCACAAAAATCTGGTTTTAAAGCTTCAACATGTTCATATAGTGAATGAATTTCGAATGGTACTGGATTAAAGGGCCATCTACATTCTTGTATGCATTATGCGGATCATTTTGATCTTCTGATCATTTCGATCTTTTCGATTTTTGATCTGTTTTTGGCAGTTTCCGGTCACTTGATTTGCGAATGTCTGCATGATGTTGAAAATACTGTATACCATTTCATCTTCAGGATCCCACAGTTGATCCAAAAGTGAGGGCACATCTTGAACGTCACCGACTGTTGTTACATTCAAATTTTCCGCGTGAAAGCCCTTGTGGAAATGCACGCTACTGACGTATTGCGGCGAACTAATGTCTTTCCGGACCAAACCGTGCGGAAGTTCGTTGGCAGAGAATCCGTTTAGCATGTCCACTTGGCAGTTTCCGGTCACACGCATGTTGTCGGCGGATCGTATTTGTCGCACTTCTTCGGGTGATGTCATTGATGTGTAGCTCTTGAGACTCTTGTACACCTTTAAAAAGAAAAGAGGGAGGGAAAATATTTTTTATTTCGATCAATTACTGTACAGAATAACGTCTTGAACCGAGATTTGGTCTCGCATTTTGGTTTTTCAGAAAAAAAAAGTCCTTGAACTTGCGTTTTTGTTTTCTCGGAGAAAGTCCCTTTTACATAACAAATAGTTTTTCTGTATCTCCAAAGCTTTTTGAATTTTACGACTTCTTTTTTCTTTATACGGTCGAACCTCATTGAAGTCAAACTCTGAGGGACTCCCAAAAATCCGACTATGAGTTCTCGACTTGGAGAAAGTAGCATTTTTGTTCGGAAAGAAAATTATGCAAGGATTTAAATTAATCTTCCAGGCCCTAAACTGCTGGTTATAAATGAGTTGACATGATGCTGAACTCGAGGGAAAATGTTCATTTGCCAAATTAGTCAAATTTCAATGTGAGAAATGCTTCAAGTTACATATTCAGTGCTATGATCATTTCCTGGGCTTGAAGGGATAGTCCCGAGTTACGGAGGTTTATAATAATTTGCGGTACATGGTTCAAGGAAATTTCGTACTGGGACTAAGCAAAAATTCGGCTAAAGAAGCTCGAGTTCTTGAAGTTTAATAAGTGTGTTTTTCATGCATACCTGCGAATGAATAACAATTTTAAGCTTGTCATCTACCAAGGGTCTTCAGTTATCTCGCTGCATTTCATGAATTTTTGCCAAGATACGATGCTAGAAAAAAAGGGCGTAGCTGCAATTTCGCGTGCGAGTATTCTCCAATCAATTTTACCACTACAAAGGTTTCTGCAAGCACTGATAATATTACGTATTTACCTATTTAGAGTGTGATACTCTAATATATAATGAAGGATTGAAAGTCGCGATTAGTAATTATTGTGTAATTTTCTTGAAGAACTTACCAAGGCGGAATTTTTGTTCTAAAAAAATATAATCTTTTTGTTCAAGTCCGAGCTCGAAACTATTCATCACTGTACTATGTGTGATTTATGTAATAACGAGTTTGAAGCTTATATTTCTAAAAATCTTCAGAATTCTTCTCTTTCTAAAAAAAAGCTTCTAAAACAGCTTTTTTCGCGTCCGAGCACGAAACTATTCATCACTGTACTAGGCGTGATTTATATAATAACGAGTTTGAAGCTTCTCTTTTTAGAAAAAATCAATTCCGCCTTGGTAAGTTCAAGAAAATTACACAATACATCACCAAATTATGTAATTTTCTTGAACTTTCCTAGGCGGAATTTTTTTTCTTATCTAAAAGTACTTTCGAAGCTTTTTCAAGTCCGAGCACGGAACTATTCATCACTGTACTATGTGTGATTTATATAATAACGAGTTAGAAGCTTCTATTTCTAAAAATCTTCAGAATTCTTCCCTTTCTAAAAAAGCTTCTAAAAATGGAAACTTTTTTCGCGTCTGAGCACGAAACTATTCATCACTGTACTATGCGTGATATATATAATAACGAGTTTAAGCTTCTCTTTTTTAGAAAAAAATAAATTCCGCCCTGGTAAGTTAAAGAAAAGTGCACAATACATCACACAATTATGTAATTTTCTTGACTATAGGCGGAATTTTTTTTTCTTTTCTAAAATTACTTTAGAAGCTTTTTCAAGTCTGAGCACGAAACTATTGTAGTAGGCGTGATGTATATAACGAGTTTGAACAATCGTTTTTCTCGGCGATGTTCCACACCCACCCACCTTCACAGGTGAACAACTTTTAGTATTTCCTCTGAACTCCGCATTATCCGTAAAAAACGACCGATCAATCGTTAATCCTTGTTTGAAAACCGCAGTTGTGCCTTCAGTTAACTGCAATGAATCGTCGGTGTACATCAAGTCACTGATGGGCACCTCCGCCAAGGAATCGTTGACGATGAGGTGTTCTGTTCGCAATTCGGAAAAAATAAATATCAGAACATTATTTCATTTATTTCAACGATAAAAGAAAGATAATACTTATGGAGACGTTTCCTTGAGCGGAAAGTTGGCACGTGCACGTCTGACTACTGTGAGTAGTCAAAGCATTGCTCAACTTCTGACCGACGTCCACGTTGTCGATGGGGCCGACGAATTGATTCACTGAGAGTTCTTTAAAGCGCACTTTTCCTGAGATTTCCATTGGCCGATTGCGCGACACCAACTTGAGAAGAAGGCAGTGGTAGGTTAATTTTAACCAACCTTTTAATAGTAGGAACAGTTCAAAAATAATCGAATATTTACTTGGATTCGAATCTCGAATCAATTTCTGATGCGTTTATTCAAAAAAAAAGTTTCATTTTTCAGTTACTGAAAATGGGTATGTTAATCCAAATGTAGGCTGAAAATTGATTTGAGCGTCTTTCNCGTTGGCAGAGAATCCGTTTAGCATGTCCACTTGGCAGTTTCCGGTCACACGCATGTTGTCGGCGGATCGTATTTGTCGCACTTCTTCGGGTGATGTCATTGATGTGTAGCTCTTGAGACTCTTGTACACCTTTAAAAAGAAAAGAGGGAGGGAAAATATTTTTTATTTCGATCAATTACTGTACAGAATAACGTCTTGAACCGAGATTTGGTCTCGCATTTTTGTTTTTCAGAAAAAAAAAGTCCTTGAACTTGCGTTTTTGTTTTCTCGGAGAAAGTCCCTTTTACATAACAAATAGTTGTTTTTCTGTATCTCCAAAGCTTTTTGAATTTTACGACTTCTTTTTTCTTTATACGGTCGAACCTCATTGAAGTCAAACTCTGAGGGACTCCTAAAAATCCGACTTTGAGTTCTCAACTTGGGGAAAGTAGAATTTTTGTTCGGAAAGAAAAATTATGCAAGGATTTAAATTAATCTTCCAGGCCCTAAACTGCTGGGTATAAATGAGTTGACTTGATGCTGAACTCGAGGGAAAATTTTCATTTGCCAAATTAGTCACATTTCATTGCGAAAAACGCTTCAGTTACATATTCAGTGCTATGATCATTTCCTGGGCTTGAAGGGATAGTCCCGAGTTGCGGAGGTTTATAATAATTTGCGGTACATGGTTCTCAAGGAAATTTTGTACAGGGACTAAGCAAAAATTCGGCGAAAGAAGCTCGAGTTCTTGAAGTTTAATAAGTGTGTTTTCCATGCATACCTGCGAATGAATAACAATTTTAAGCTTGTCATCTACCAAGGGTCTTCAGTTATCTCGCTGCATTTCATGAATTTTTGCCAAGATACGATGCTAGAAAAAAAGGGCGTAGCTGCAATTTCGCGTGCGAGTATTCTCCAATCAATTTTACCACTACAAAGGTTTCTGCAAGCACTGATAACATTACGTATTTACCTATTTAGAGTGTGATGCTCTAATATATTATGAACGAGGAGTGAAAGTCGCAATTAGTTATTATTGTGTAATTTTCTTGAAGAACTTACCAAGGCGGAATTTTTTTTTGCTACAAAAATAGAATCTTTTTTCAAGTCCGAGCACGAAACTATTCATCACTGTACTATGTGTGATTTATATAATAACGAGTTTGAAGCTTCTATTTCTAAAAATCTTCAGAATTCTTCTCTTTCTAAAAAGCTTCTAAAAATGGAAACTTTTTTCGCGTCTGAGCACGGAACTGTTCATCACTGTACTAGGCGTAATTTATATAATAACGAGTTTGAAGCTTCTCTTTTTAGAAAAAATCAATTCCGCCTTGGTAAGTTATAGAAAATTACACAATACATCACAAAATTATGTAGTTTTCGCGAAGAACTTTCCTATAGGCGGAATTTTTTTTTCTTTTCTAAAATTACTTCCGAAGCTTTTTCGCGTCCGAGCACGGAACTGTTCATCACTGTACTAGGCGTAATTTATATAATAACGAGTTTGAAGCTTCTCTTTTTAGAAAAAATCAATTCCGCCTTGGTAAGTTCAAGAAAATTACACAATACATCACAAAATTATGTAATTTTCTTGAAGAACTTTCCTATAGGCGGGATTTTTTTTTTTCTAAAATTACTTCCGAAGCTTTTTCAAGTCCGAGCACGGAACTATTCATCACTGTACTATGTGTGATTTATATAATAACGAGTTTGAAGCTTCTATTTCTAAAAATCTTCAGAATTCTTCCCTTTCTAAAAAAAAGCTTCTAAAAATGGAAACTTTTTTCGCGTCCGAGCACGAAACTATTCATCACTGTACTATGCGTGATTTATTTAATAACGAGTTTAAGCTTCTCTTTTTTAGAAAAAAATAAATTTCGCCTTGGTAAGTTCAAGAAAGTTACACAATACATCACAAAATTATGTAATTTTCGTGAAGAACTTTCCTATAGGCGGATTTTTTTTCTTTTCTAAAATTACTTTAGAAGCTTTTTCAAGTCCGAGCACGAAACTATTCATCACTGTAGTAGGCGTGATGTTTATAATAACGAGTTTGAACAATCGTTCCTTTCGGCGATGTTCCACACCCACCCACCTTCACAGGTGAACAACTTTTAGTATTTCCTCTGAACTCCGCATTATCCGTAAAAAACGACCGATCAATCGTTAATCCTTGTTTGAAAACCGCAGTTGTGCCTTCAGTTAACTGCAATGAATCGTCGGTGTACATCAAGTCACTGATGGGCACCCCCGCCAAGGAATCGTTGACGATGAGGTGTTCTGTTCGCAATTCGGAAAAAAAATAAATATCAAAACATCATGTCATTTGTTTCAACGATAAAAGAAAGATAATACTTATGGAGACGTTTCCTTGAGCGGAAAGTTGGCACGTGCACGTCTGACTACTGTGAGTAGTCAAGGCATTGCTCAACTTTTGGCCGACGTCCACGTTGTCGATGGGGCCGACGAATTGATTCACTGAGAGTTCTTTAAAGCGAACTTTTCCTGAGATTTCCATTGGCCGATTGCGCGACACCAACTTGAAAAGAAGGCAGGGGTAGGTTAATTTTAACCTACCTTTTATAAGTAGGAACAGTTCAAAAATAATCGAATTAAATGAACCTAAGCTTAGAGCTTAGTTAAAGACTACGCAAATAAGTTTTTTTTTCAAAGTAAAAAGTCAATGACTTTTACCCATACAATTAGGTTTACATCCGACTTTTAACTAAACTCGCAGAAAGTCGAGGGCTCAAGAAAATGTTGGACTAAGTTTCAAATAATTCTTAAAAATACCAAGAGTAAAATACTGTATTGAATTTTTACTCAGATGAAAGTCTATGAATCTACTCCGTTTTGACTAATTTCGGTATTGGTTTTTATCATTGTATGTTGTTTACTACTGTGTAAATGACTTCTGAAGTTATCGAGAAATTTGAGGGAAAAAGTTGCACTAAATCATCTGCTCGCTCGTCTCTTTAAATTTTTGCCGCTTTTTTTGGCAACAATCAACACAGTATTGTAATCCAAATGTATGCTGAAAATTGAGGTGAGCGTTTTCCCGAGGGCTTAGGAAAATGTTGGACTAACTTTCAAAAAGTTTGTAAAAATATTAAATTTTTACTCCAATGAAAGTTTATAAATTTGCTCAGTCTTGAAGAATTTTCGGTTTAGGATTTATAACATTGCTTGTTGTTCACTACTGTATTCTGTATATGGCGTCTAAACTTTTTTAGAAATTTGAGGAAAAAAGCTGAACTAAATCATCTGCTCGCTCGTCTCTTTGAATTTTAGCAGCTTTATTGGTAACAATCAAAGCGAGAAAAAAATGAATGCGGTACCTCGTACTTCATGAAGTGCGTAAGGGAGACATTGTTGAGGTTTTCGCAAGTCAACCAGCCTTTCACTGTTGCATGTTGGGCTTCGATATGCTGAACAGAGTTTCTATCCGTGTCGCACTCGATTCCGTTCTGGAGAGTTTTCGCAACATTGATGTGTCCGTCGATCCAATCCACATTCACGGCATTAGCTGAGGAAGGAGAGATACACAGTTCATGTGGTTATATTACATTTCTGAAAAAAAAATTGAATTCCTCAAAATGTAGAATATTTTTCACGTTTTGATCTCAGCCTGAAATGCATCACTTTTTAGTTTAGGAAATGGTAGTAAAAATTACTACTACGATTTGAGTAAAAATGCAATACAGTATTTTACTCTTGGTTTTTTAAAGAATGATTTAAAAATTAGTCCAACATTTTCTTGAGCCCTCGAGAAAGATGCTCAACTCAATTTTCAGCCTACATTTGGATTACAATACCCATTTTCAGCAACTGAAAAATTAAACTTTTTTTAAATAAACGCATCAGAAATTGATACGAGATTCGAATCCAAGTAAAAATTTCACTACTACGATTTTATGAATTGATCCTCATGAGTAATCGTTCAATGGGAACGAGTACACGATATTTACTGACTTACCATTCAACTCTCCAAAGGTTACATTGCCGCAAAATTCCAGAGGCTTTCCATCGGTGGAAGGAGTCACGTAAACCGCATTTTCGAAAGCTTCTTTGATTTTCACGTCATTGTAAGACTCAGCAGTGAAGTTTTCGAAGATCCAAGCATCTCCTCGCAGAACCAATTCATCACTGAATCGAATCGGTGAGCCTTCAAGCAAAAATGGAATATGCAGTATGTATAGAATAGAATGCAAAAGAAATGAAGAATAATTTTGTTCTTCAGGAAATTCGATTGCTTGTTGCGTGGGAGTTGGAAAATCAGCATAATGTACTCGTATCAACAAAATTGGAAGTAGTCATTTATTTTGATTGGATTTTCAACGGCCACGCATAAGAGAAGGGGTACAAAAATTGAATTAAAAAAAAATTGAATGATGTGCGCTGCTGAATGAGAAATGTGCTGTTAGCCGAAAAAGATTTATTCATGCCACTGTATTAAAAAAATGGGAGTGAAAAACCCGGAAGGATTTGGTCTCAGTTATTCTGCAAACTTAGTCCAGATATGGACATTCAGGCGGGATATTCTTGATTTTCTTTTCGGCGAAAACTTATTTCCTAGCCCGCGTGAATAGAGAAAATCCCATTCAATGTAAATTTCGATGAAAGATTCCTTTCCAGTGAGCCAGTGACTGAACACAATTGTTTACATGGAATGGTTTCCTTGTCTGAAGAAACATATTTCAGCGTGATAGAGAAAGCCCGCATTGCGCCGTGACGATTCCTCTTTGTTTATTGTTGCAAACGTTATACATTTTTCCGCACGAAAACAAAAATAAAAAAATTTCGAAAAATTATATTTTGCGGGGCTGTCTGCTGAAAACGGGCACGCGAAAAGAGAAACTGTGTCATGACTTCGCAATTTATTTCGGCCGATTTTTTTTTAGGAAGAACTTTCTCTGTGCCTCCCCTCAAAAATCTTTCGCAGGACAAACGCGCTTTCAGTTAGAACTGTTCTTAAACATTCAGTGAAATATTGCAGGGATTGAATTATTGATGCATAATTCCGACAGTGAAAATGGGCTGCTCACTGGTGCTATTCAAGTTGTGCCAATTTTTGTGACAATTGAAATTGTAGACAGAAAATTTAGGACAATTCAAAGAATTAAATTTTATTTGAGAATTTCTCAGAAGCTCGAACATTTTTTGTCATTTGGAAAAATGATTCAAGATCAGTTTTGCCAAATTACTTCCTATCAAGAAAAATTTAACTCAAAACTTAATGGCGTTCCAAATCGAAGGTTCATGATAATTTATCTCAAATACTGTTATTTTGAGAATTTCATGAGGAATTTGAAGGTTATCTGTTTAGAAGGAAAATTTCCGCGCAAAACGGTGCTTCTAATGTCACGTATCAACCCTGTGTTCGTCTGACACTTCGTATTTTCCCTCCAGTACTTCCCGAATTTCGCGCGGCTCAAACATCCGAGAGGAAAAGAAAATGCGGATTACGACGCGACAGTTCTCCCTGCTCATTCTGCCAATAATCGCTCTTCAAGCAGTCCCTTATTCATCAGCCCAAGAAATGGAAACCAGGGTTAAAAGAAACCTGATTTCCTGCGCGACGCGAACCATCTCCGCCGACCTCAGCCGTTGGTTCACATTGCACATGGCTAGCCCCGAAATATTCCGCACGGAACTCGAACGCGTGCCTTGCTTCTCGCGCAATCTCCGCCGAACTCGAATGCCGTCATCATTCAGCACCCCTGCAAATCGTCAGGCCAATTTCACACTCACCCCGATTGATCCCGCAAATCCATTCATCACTGAGGATGACTGGGGAATCAATGGAACCACTACCGATGAAAATGACGTCACGGAGGAGTCGCCGGTGATTGATCCGAGCAAGGGACAGTGCGACTTGGCATGCCCCATGGTGACGGTGCAGGAAGTTTACGTCAATATTATTCGGTGTTTTACGACAGATGTCGTGTGCTGTACTTGTATACTCTTTATTGGGATGGGCGTGGCGGAAGCGATTGTGGACGAGACCTACGCTACGCGAAGTTTGGGAATGTATGATGGGAATTCATTTACGATTCCTTCTTAGATCAGTTCAAATTTTGTGCGGGTTTTCTGGCTCGAGACAATCCGCTTTCCGTAATTTTAATGGTCGGTTGTCCGCTGCGGAATGGTTATTCTACCAGGGTTTAATATAAATTGAACGAACTGAGAAGAAAATCGCTGCCGAAAGATTGGAATAAAATCAAATTTGCGTTGAATCTTCATCGTGAAGTAAATTTAGAAAACTGAATCAATGCTTAAGTGAAGGACTGAGGCCTGTGCACATTTTCGGGTCAATTTTTCGACGTCAAGGCTCATTCTTCTAGGTTTGAAAAAAGTCAAACCAAAGCAACTCATCAGCAAAAGCGATACCAACCTCTGGAATCTTCAGAAAATTTTGTGTTATCGCATACGCTGAGTTGCTCTACATTTACACGAGTCAAAGCAGTTATTTTTTTACACTCACGATAATCATACTCTTTGTCAGACCCAAAGAGTTTCCTGGCATCGTAGTTATTGAGCGTCTCGAAGTCCGCATCGTTGGTTTGCAGCATCCTGATTGTCTATAAGAAAAATCAATGAATGCTAAACAAAAATACTGTAGTTCGAAAAAGTATATCCCTCCTCGTTTTAAAAACTCAAGCTCGTGACATCTCGGTACATTTTTGCATTAATGCATGGGTGTCGCTGAATTGTTTGTACACTGCGTTGGGCCGAAGTTGGGTTAAATAAATACCTGTATGTTTCCATTATATGGTATGCCTTTAATAAAATACGGTATACAGTGTATGTACCATGAATTTAGCTCAAGTATATGAGTCTAGTGCAATCCGTAACTATTCCTTAGTGGTCTTTATCGTCAAGGCGAACGCTTTTTTTTAAATCTCACATGGCCAGAATTTAGAGATTAACATAGAAAAATGAAATCAGGTACTGTGATTAAATGTCACATCTTCCAAAAGTAAAAAAAAAATGTTTATGACATACAGTACATCGACCGTATTTGGGCAAACATAACCACCCACTTTCCTGGTGTTCCGACTTTCCATGAACCTAAACTTTCTGATCAACTAAGTTTTCCATAGAAATGAAAGACTGTCACACAACCCTTGCTCTTCCCTTCAGTCAATGTCTCATTAAATTTGAAGTGCTAAAAATTGACAGTTTCATCATTTTTAACTTCAATTCCGAAAGAATTGAAAGAACGGTTCGTTCATTTTCTGGGACAGGAATAGGAAACATTTTCATGGCATAGAATGCAAATTTACGTGAATTTCAAAATTATTCAAATATAAATACCACCCCCCCCCCCTAGTTTTTGAGCTTCTGAAATAGGGGGAAAAACGGGGTGCTTATATTCGCCTAAATGCCGTATATCACTGTACCGTTGTAATTTTTCCGCACAAATTGAATCAGAACATTTTACAATTCTACAATTTTAGTGTGCAAATTTAAAAAAAAATAGTTGCGTTAGGGGTGAGAAAAAATTATCCTCTTGAGCTTATTAGATTTTTCAAGTGCGGTATACCGTGTGAAAATTTAGGCTAGTGATTCAGGTGACACCTGTCCGACACTAAAAAAAAAAAAACTAATATACTCTTGGAAAGGTAAATTGATATTTTTTTTTTCACCTTGGTCCCATTCACATCGATGTTGGGGATGTCGGGGCTGACGAGCACAGCGTCGGAGAGAGCGTTCAAGACGTTGCATTCTTCTCCGCTGTGAAATTGTCCTTGGGGGTCGAGGGAAAGGAATGTCGCGTGACTGAACACCATGGGCCGCTGTATGAATTGGACTTGGTCCGAATGAAGTTTCACGTAATTCTCCAGAGAAACGTTGTTGAATTTGTCCACCTCGACGCTTGTCTTGAAAACAACCTTCTCGGCCTTGATTTCGTGAAAATTCTGGAAATTTTCAGAGAGTTTTTGGTGGCAAAAAAATTAGTTCCCTCGCGTGGAAGTTTCAAAATTAGAAAGTCGCTATTCCCAAGGTTTTCACACTGCATTTGGGGAAAACCGTGTGCAGAATAATATCTGAAGTATAAATGAAATCTTTTAAAATTGACCTTTTCAATGAAAACTGGTCAAGGGATTTTTTGCTAAAATTTTTGGAAAGATTCCGAGGCAAGACTTTGAATCGATTCTCTCATGGCAGAACATTGAACAACTCCTACATTTTACGTGAACTTCATCAATTACATATGTAAAACTAATATAGTACGCAACTTTTTTCCTCATAGAACCATGGTTTTCAGATTGAAAATACCGTGATGGGAAATAAGTAATCTACCAAATTTTGGACATCGAAGCGAGCGCAGGCCTTCAGCTGCTCATCGAAATCGTTTCCATTGTAGCGCTTGATTCCCAAGACGTTTTTCACCTGCGAAAAATCATCACACTTAAAAAAAAATAAAGTCAGAGTTACATCGGGAATTGGAATTGAACCTCCAAATTTTGCACAGTTGTGTCTTCAGTGATGACGAGTGACTCCATGGATGTTGGAGACAGAGTCAAGTCGCTGCTGAGGTCCAACGAATCGATAGTTTTTTTCGGCGGCATGACCAATTGGTCAATGTTGAGATTGCGGAACACGGGCATCGCTTTTATTTTGGCAACAGCAAAAAAAGATTATCAAGTGTTTTGGAAATTCGCCATTGTACAAATTGTCTACCAAATATTTTCATTTGTTCTGAGAACTAATTCGCGAAAGTGTTCAGTTTTTTTTATTCTTAATTTTATCCCGGTATCGGCGAAGCTTTAATCCTCTACCCGAGGATGCTGGGTATAGTCCTTACTTGAATGTTTTACCTACCGTAAAAAAGAGAAGTAGTGCTTTCCCGAAAACCGAAGAAAAGCTTGCCAACAGGTCATATTCTATATTACAGTAGATGATTTAACGCGAAATCGACGCAAAATTTGAGTTCAAGTTTCAACCTAAATATGCGATACTGAGAGCATCAGCCGCTATTTATAAATTGAGAATAAGTACCGTACTACGGATAGGTTATCCGACTTCTGCCCTCAAGCGAACAATTTAGTCGGATTTTTAAAGATTTGAAATGAGGTCGATTCTGTAGAATCGGATCATTGATGGGACGGATTGTATGGAACAAATCCTCTTAATACATTTATTTTTCTCGGCATATCGGATGGTGTGAATGCTAATAATCCTTTCCATAATTAACATGTGTGAAAGATAAATCCTACTTTTGAACGTAATGTTGTTCTGAGAAGTATCCACGATCTTGGAGCAGAGGATCCCGTTGATGGTATCAGTATTAACGACTTTGGCGCTGAATAAGTTCTTCACGATCACGTCGCCGTTGAAAACGGTTACATCTTCCGTAGCATTCATCTTCCTTTCGCCCCTGACTGTCGTATTTTTCGCTTGCAATTTTCCGGAAATATGCACATCACCTTCGAACAAGGGAAGAGATGGAATTTAAAACATGTAATAAGTAGAGAAATTGCGCGGGAAGAGTAATCGAATTTCGAGAATAGTCACCAGAGAGTTTTTACAATTTTTTGTTTTATTTATTCTGCGTTAATGCGTTCCTGAAGATCCAAGAGTTGACCAAAAGTTTAACCCTTGACTGGATATGAAAAAAAATAAATTATTCGAACAACCTCACCGTTGATTTTCAGGACGCCGTTTTCAACTTGAGCAATCTTGTTCAATTCTTGCGCATCGATTCCATTGATCGTTCTGACCTTGATATTTCCTTTTTCGACCGTCACTTTGTTCAGAGTGATTGGTGACGTGGAAAATTGCTGGGGATCATCCTTGTTCAAAAAGGTTCTCAAGTGATCAGCAATATTCTGCGCAGTAAATACAGTAGTTTTTATTTGAATTTGAAAAAAAAATAGACCCAAATCACGAGGCGATACAAAATTTACTTCCGAATTTCTGCGGATGCTCTTCAATTTTTCTATTATTCCGTGAAAATAATATTAATCATGTTAATTTTATTCTCAGATACGTTCTATGTATTTGAAACAATTTTTGAAAACCTAGCAAAAATAATTTAAAATAATGAATATTGGGAAAAATTCATATATAAAATTTCCTTGTGTTGTTCAATGCTCAAAATACAGTATTTATTATGAAGTAATTGAGCTCATACTGTTTAGATGAATGTTTTCTTTTTATCATTTATTAATGAATGAAACAATTGTTTTTTTTAATAATTATATGCTACAAAACTAATTTTAAAAACTACAAATTTTTTAAATGATCATTTATGTTGCTTCACCTCGACGCCGTTGACCCGTCCTTTGGCAGTGATGCGACCAGCCTGCAAAACTCCGATCGTCAAGGACTGGAAACTTGTCCTTTCATTTCGATTACAAATATTCCGAACGGACATTTTGTTCAGCGTGCAGTTTTCCTTCAGAGTCACAGTGTCGTTGAAGTGAACGTTGTTGGCGAACGTCATTTTACCCTTGAACTCCGTTGGCTCGTTGGCTACTACGATATCTGTTGCATGATGCGAGGAGGAAAAATTGCAGGATGTTTTGTTTTTTCAAGCTAGGGTTAAATAATGGGCTGAATATTGTTCATAACCTTCGGTCGGCACGTTGTTGATCTTCGAAGTTTGAAGACCGTTTATCTGACAGTTTGTCACTCTCCAATTTCCCGAGATGACTTGCTCGTTGGAGGAAGTGACGCCATTCTCAATTAATTCCCCGATGTTCTTTCCGAGCACGGTGGTGTTTTGATTTGCGACCATCGTCAGGCTGAGAAAGGAAGGAAAGAAAGAAAGAAAAAATGGTAATTATATGCTTGGTGGGCGATGCATGGCTTTCAATTTCAAAATTAATTTCATCGAGGCATCGCTCACGTCTTGAAACTGATGATTTTCTGCGCATCGTCTGATTTTTTCTTCTGCATCAAGACAAGGTTGTTTACGCTCTCTTCCATGCTTCCCACCATCTTCTTGAGTTTCGACACGGTGCTTCTCAATTTGTTCTCCGAACGCATGAATTCTTCGCCGGGTAGTGCCGAGATTTCTCGTATTTTCGCATCGCCAATGTTGAGATTGCCGTTGATGCGGAGATTGGTGTAAGTGAGCCCTCGGGATCCATCGACAGGAATGCAGGACTTGAGGTTTTCCCGGACTCGGGATAACACTTCCATCTTCTCAGCCAAAAGCGTTTCTAGATTCCCAAGGCACTGTTTCACCTTGTCTTCGTGGGCTGTAAAAATGAAATTCAATCATATGGGCAAATTTTCTTTTTTTGAAGAATAACGCAGGATAAGACATGCAGTACTTTTTTGAATGGGCTTGAAAAATCCGTTTATATCGCCTAATTATTTGAAAGAATAACACATAAGATATGCAGTACTTTTAAATGGGATTTAAAAATAAAATCCATTTGTATTGTTTAATCTTCTAAAAAATACATGAAGTGTACTTAAAAAATAATAATTAACGTTTTCAAGGAAGTTCCTTGAACAATTTTGGCACTCGTGAGCTTTCCAGAAGGAATACTCGATGACTACCTTTTTTGCAATTCATAAATATATCCTCCTATCAAAATTTATATGGTTACGTTGAAATTTAAGGGAAGGGATTCCCGATTTCGAATTACTGTACAGTACTACGGAACTCGAAATATTTATTTTTATTCTGCTCAAGTGTTTTGAAGATCCGTCTAATTAGTTTTAAAAAATTAGATCTTGACAGAGGAAAAAAATACCGGCAATCAAAAGCAGTGAATAAATAGCCAATTTTACAGATCAATATAGATTCATGGGTTTCGCTCAAGATTACGTAATTAGCACGTTTACGAGTAATTCAGGAATGTTGGGATAGCTTCACGGGCTTTAGGTTAGATACATGAAATTTTCAGAGTGGCTGTGGTCACAATAAGGGCTGGATTAAGGTGGGTGCTAATTTTTCTGCAGCATTAAGCACGCAAATGGCCTCCTGAGTAATTTAAAAAAAAAACCCAAGCTGCAAGTTCTGGTATTTTAAAATAAATTCTGTAAAAGCTGCTTGGGTTTGCCTTTTCCTTATGCAGAATTCTTTTTTAAACAGTTATTTTCTGCTTTATACTGCACCCTTGAAATCTCAAGTCACATTTTTTGCGATACTTTGAACTTCAAATAAACTAGGAATAAATTTAAATATTACTTTCAATAAAATTGTCTATTCTTTTGATTATTGATTGATTATTCTTTTGTTCGTGTGAGGAGAAAATGCAAATTTCCTCATGCAAAGAAAAATTAGGCGTTTTTTTTAGGTAGAGCGTCAGGCCGAATTATGTTCACAGCCCTGCCAATAACACCCCATCTAAAAGGCTTAGATTTTTTTCGTCATCCTAAAATCTGGTGAAATCTGAACAAATCCTGTGCACCTTAAAACTTGATCATCCGGAGGACCGGTTCCTGTATATACTGTAGTCATCAAAAAAGCTTCAACATAATTCTTCTGAATTCTTCTGTAGTACATCGTGAAAGAGTCTTCATGAAACGAAAACAGTATTTTTTGAAAATTCCTTACTTGTCGTGGTCTCCCATGCAGGAACTTCCGGAATCGTTCCCAAGTCGTAGACATTGTCATTATTGTTGCCTGATATCGCTGGAATTCCACCTGTCAAGGCCAGAAATGCCCGGTTTCCGACAACAATGGGGGTCAGTCTGCTGAACTGAGTAAAAGTTGAATTTGCCAAAGTGTAGTGGAAGTAGGGTTTGATGTGTGATGTTGAATCCAAAGCGAAGCCGTAGATTCCAGTCTAGAGGCAACAAGGCGGGAAAATATTTTGGTATTCAGAATCGGAAATTCAATACACGAATGATTCGGGTTTAAAGTTGAATTTCCTAAGGTATTTTTTGAATTTGAAAATTTTCTTCTGAACACAGGGATCGAGGAAATAGAGGAGTTAATTTTTTTCGCTAAACATGGTTTGATGAAGTGCGTGGATGCGTTTCAGTCGTTGAATAATTTCGAGAATTCTTGCGATGAGGCGAATTTAGAGTCTCAGACCTTGAAAAAATGTTTGAGATAAATTTCGTGTTTTAAATTCTAATTTTTCATTGAGTGATTTCGTTTCTTTCTTCAATGCTATTCAGGTGCTCATTATATTATTAACCAAACCAAAATTGATTTTACTCATCATTATTCAACTGTATCAAGCACATCATTTAATACTTATTGAACGAGGAATAAACTATAGAAGAGAAAAGATCAATGGTCGTCCTCATTGAGTATTGAACTGATGACTAGAAAAATAACCAACTCAAGTAATCTCAAGATAACCCAACCGGCCCCCAGATGCCAAAAAAACTAGTTCGTACGCCCTTTTCATTGCACCATGGAGCTCCCTTTGTGTGAATCAGACTAGACATTGCTGCAAATATACAGCACAGTGTAATGAAAAAATCATATTTGAAGGCAGTACTGTATTAGAATAGCGAAAAAATTTTTCGCCAGTCGGGAAAATCGGGAATTATTGCTTCAATAATTCCCGGTTATCCCAAAACGACATCATCCAGGGTTAGAAAAAAAATTACAGGGATCACTGTCCCATTTTCTATAGGGTTAACTCCTGAAACGATATGGATATTCGATGGAACATCATTTGTTGTCGAACTGCAGGGAAGAAAATTGCTCAAGTTCCCCACTCTGTTTGTCTCTACATTCGGGTCGTTATCCGGGCTTGGTAATTATTTTTCGAATACGTGTTTCGTGGTTATTTCTCCAACTCATTTCCGAACTTACGTCTGATGCAAGAAGGGCTACGACGCGATTGTCGGGCAGCACCACATGACTCCATGCATCCGAGCGATTGACGTTAATTTTCGGGCCCGGATTCGGAAGGCCTTGATCATCGCCAACCCTGTGGAAATCTGTCAACCTGTCTCCTGCAAAATGCGCAACATTAAAAAAAAATGTATGCAGTACTTTAAAATACATGTAGAGTCCCAGAATTTTGATAACGAAACGTTACCAGTGAAAACGTGAATCATCGGCTTCCCAGTTCTGGAGCACGAGAGATCTTACTCCACTGGCAGACAAAGGTGTCGCACGCATCTCTACTGCGGCAACCGTTATTAAAGAACCATGTCGCTTATCCAGTCAAAGACCGGCTGAAGCAGCATCATTTACTCCATTTATTTTTAAGGTCCTCCCTTGAAATAAAAAAAAAAACATTCAGTCGAACCTCTCTAAGTAGAATTTCAAGGGACCTGCTAAAAAAAATTCGACTTAAGGTTTTGAATTTCATAGGTTTGAACTACAATACAAAGCCCTTTTTTTAGAGAAAAAAATGCTTTAAATGGTGATATTCTGTGGCTTAAATGAGTTAAAAGGCTGCTGAACTTATATGCAGGGGTTAATTTGCCCTATTAAGTCTTTCACTTCCTTTAAAATACGTGAACTCCTGTTTTTATTGCTTTTTTCTTACTTGGCTCTAGAAAATAATGGCCAAGTTTTGAGGGGAGAAGCTTTCGACTTAAAGAGGTTTTTAATGTATTGTTCCTAAGAGGATTCAGATGGGGACCTTAAAAAAATTCGATTTAGGGAGGTTCACCTTATAGTGGAACAAAAAGAAGAAACATATGTTGACTATTCATGATATTTTCTAGCGAAGATCTTCCGCTACGACAAAATAGACAGCATTTCACGCAATTTCTAGATTTACTGCGGTGATAATTAGCTATAGGAATTTTCCTCCGACGCATGCATCAGACTATTGCCGAATAAAGGGATCCATTTTCTGTTGTTCCAAATAGCTTTTGCTACGAGAATAAACCTGACCAACAGCAGCATATCTAAATACTTCAAAGTTATAACTGCAGGAACAGTAAAATGACAGTTGAATAAATTAACATTTTGGTCGTTCCACACGCGCATTACGGACAACATAGAGATTTAAATTATGAATGCCGATTTAAAGTCGTCAGTTATTCATTTCGAAATATACGACAATCAACAGTTAGAACTAGGAACGAATTCTATTACAGCTGAGAAACCGTTGAAGTATACCATGTTGAAATACTGTATTTGAATGAATCTGTGATGAAAAAGGCATCCTCAAAGTTGACGAAACTAACATTCTCTCAAAGCACACATTTTCTCGTCGGAATGCAGTGACTCAACAGTCCAGTCACGTATATACGCACTACGTAGTAATAAGGTCAACCCCGGTGTGCCCACGAAGAGAAAGCGCGTATATGGAAAGAAGACAAGTAAACCGGGCTTCTTAAAAATTTCCCATTATTTTCAACTTTTAAAATCACCGAGTTATCGCAGCCTGGTGAATCCCAAGATTCCTCTTCTTCCCAAAGTTTGCGTAATATACTCGTGTTTCTGATGAGAGCGGATGTGAAAGGAAAGCAGAGAGAGAAAAAAAGAAAAAAAAGAAACTTACGGCTGGGTCGCCGTTTGTTCCCAGGTCTTGCGCAACAGCCAAGTATACTTTATTATTGTAGGTGAATGCCGAGACGTGCTTTGCCGAGGTCGTCCGAATGGGAATCTTTCGGTCCATGTACGTTGAAAAAAGCTCGTGCACTCTGTATCGTCGTCAAAAAAGTATAGACGTTCAGCAGTTTCAAAAATCTGTTCCGAATTTGTTTTCGATTCAGGTGTATATGAATGTGAGGGAATCGCAGAATGTATGAAGTGGGATTATAAAATTTAGCCCGGATGAAAAATGGTCGTTGAGTTCGGGATGGCTTTACGAGTCAACTCTTGTGACTCATGGTGTACTGATGGTATTGACTCATCTGTGAGAATGATCCCATCCGTTATTTTAGAGGATGAAAAATTAGTCGTTTTATCTTGCTTACCGAATGCAATACTTTACAGGAAATTCCCATTGGCCCTAAAATAAAAGTTTCAAATGTGGTGAATGCCGATAGAGCATATTTTTTTAAGCTTAAATAATAGTTGATAAGACGATGCAAACCGAAGCTTCTGAAAGTTCCAACTTTTTTTTTTTTTTTTTACTGGGAGTTGCTACTTTTTTTTTTACTTGGAGTTCTAGAGTTCTAACATTATTTTACTGGGGGATTTAACATTATTTTACTGGAAGCATTTCCAAAGTTTTTACAAGAAGCTCGGGTGAAATTTTTGCGTCACCCCGTAGGCTCATCAGTTAATTTCCGTTTCAGGTCACGTCGCGGGTCGTGACAGGAAATGCTTTCATAAACGGAACACGCGCTGCGAAGCCACGCAACTCTGATAGTGGGACAGATGCCATCGTAGGTACCAGAGATGGATCATGATATATAAAGCTAGGGTTTCCCAGAAGTCTTCGAATCATCCGAAAATTGCGAATGAGACACGGCCTTATACGGGAAGATCACATAAGTTCGAATAACGAGTGCAGATTGTGTCCTAAACATTGTTCCGTTGATCACGAGATCCAATAATATCTTCGCAATGAAAGAAAAAAATAAACAAAACAAGTAGAAAATGTACACCCCGCTTGCATCAAAGGAAATTTTCTAAATAAAAAACAATTTGTTTGTTTTTTTGTGGCTTCTTCGAAGTTCCTGTCAAATTTGCCATACTCCTGAGAAACCCATCGCACGCTGAGCAACAGAGCGAAGGACAGTGAGGAATAAAGAATGAGAGGTCTTACAGCAGCTCAGACGAGAGAGTCGGGACGCCACCAGCAATGGTGCTCTCGTCGGATGTGGTGACGAGGTTGAGGACGCCAGGGGCTCGCTGGAAAAACGTGCACCAGGAGACTCGGCCGGAACCCGTGATGAACTGTC